CGAGTGGACCCGCCGGTGCATCGCAAACATTTGCATCTTTTTGTGAGTTTTTCGCGTTGTGAAACTTCTGAAAGGTCGACTCAACCACTTTCAACGCAGCATCCCGACTGGGGAAATTCGAGAAGCTTTTTGAGTCACCGTTTTTCAGACGGATACAAAAGCCGTCCAGTAAAACAAGCTTTTGCTCTTTTTCGACTTTTGAGACGTCCTCAAAATTGATTTCGAGCTTTGATTCCATCATTGGAGAAACAAAGAGAATGCAGTTCTGGGTGATCCACATTTTCCCAAGCCGACTGGCACCAAACTGGTAACAGCATGTGAAAGAGTCAATTACACTTTCAGTTGATGGCATCGAAGGGAAAAAACGGCGAAACTCTGGCACAGCCTTTGCGCGTGCTTCGTCGTTGCCTTCGGAAGTGGCAAGTTTCCGTTTTTCAGCAGTTACTAATACTTTCTCAAGAGTGAAGTTAGTGTGGCCGGGGCTCTCTTTCAATCCTGGCGATGTTGGCCGCGGAACAGAGCTTAGAGATCCGTTAGACGACTCAGATTCCTGCTCTCCGTTGTCTTTCGTCTTGACACTCGTAGACTTCGGTCGCGCATCTTGTTGGGATTCCGCGACACTCACTTCTCGTACTCTCGGGCGAGTGGCTGAGCTTCCAACGCTGTTGGAGCGGGAGCTTACGGAAGAGGTGGAATCAGGCTTATCGCCTGTCGAAATCGAGCTGGCGCGGTCGGCTGCATATTTTTCGCGCACGCACCACAAAGTCTTCAACAAATTGAACATCTGTGTCACGCCTGTGGAGAGGAAAGCAGTAAAATCATATTCAGCTCTTCCTTTTGTGGTTACTACGATGGTGTCGCACAAAAAGCCCGACCTTTTCTCAAAAGTGAGAACGTCCTCCAATTGTATAATAAGCGGTTCGTCCATGAAAGAAGACGAGAAGCAAATCCGCAGCGGTGTCACGTACATGCGTCCCATCCGGACAAGTTTTCGCCTAATAATCCCGCAACTGCAAGACTGGACGAGCTTCTCTTTTGATGGAATCTGTGGAAAGAGCTGATGGAAAGCACTCTCTTCTGGATTGCTGGCGCTGATAGGTTGCCCCGTTGCATCAGTGGCGGCAACGTTGGACATTGTATTTTGTTTCCACTTTTCTTTTTGCTGTTGGTTAGACGATGCGTGAAACGAAAAGTGATAACAGTAATGATAGTAAACTAAATCACAAAAAAGGAAGCAGGAAAAGAAGTATCAATGAGAAATTGGAATTATGTCGCTACCTAGGAACGAGGAGGAAAAAAAAAAAAGAGGGAGCATGGTGATTCTTCTTCTTTAGAATTGATTCTTTTCGTTAAGAGATCGCGGTCGATGAAAACACTTTGCTTTACTTAAAAAGCGAGTGAAGGGTTGTTACGTTTTTGTTGTTACCATTTCTTACATACATCTTCCATCCTTTTCTGTGCAGCACACGAGAATAGTCGCATTGACACGGCCTCGGCGACCTGGGCAGCGCTCATGACTGCTTCGGGAAGAATTAACAACATAATTACTTGATTTTCCTTTTTTGCCGTAACCCACACGAAGTATTTCGAACAACTAATACGGAAACCAACAAACACAAATTAGAAACAGAAAATAAAAAGGGAAAACAATGCGCACAGGTGTAGTACTATTTATTAGCCTAGTGCTCTTTAACTTCCACCAACGCTACCTTGCACACATTTGAGCCTTCCGGACGTGAATCATTTAATCTTTCAACATAGTTTCGGAGATATTTTTTCCCTTCCTCGCCCTTCCCTACAACAGCAAATCCGTGAAACATTGGGCATGTCCAAACACAATCAGACATTGACTCCAACAGAACAGGAGCCATATTCGGCTTGTCCAGCCAGATGTCATAGTGTGAGCCTTCCATTTCGTTCACACACAGAGCTGTGACTTTCGCTTTTGTTACTTGTTCAATGAGGTGTGAAACGCACAAGGGAGGAACATCCATGGCAACATTTCGCATTGTTACGTCTGGTTGACGTGAAGAAAGTCGACCATACAGTGTTTTGAGAGGGCACCTTCCACACACATAGTTGAATAATTCCAACTCAACATTTTTCAACCCTTTAGGATGAATGGAATAAGAATGAGCGTACGAGTTGCTGCTCATGTCTTTGGGCACCATGGGAGACGGCGTTTGGATATCCTTTCCTTCCACATTGGCGACCGTCCACGAGCCAGGATGAATGGCTACTTCGTTTTCCGGCGGTGGAATGGGAGCGACTGTCACCTCTGGATGAGGACTCCATGGCTTGGCGAACGCAGAAAGCGATTCCTTTACACCCGGCCCTTCCTTACGCACAGACGGCGGTTGCGTGGCACCGGGTACTGCGAATGGAACTTGGCCGACACTAACAGGGGCAACAGGAGAAATGTGCGGCATCGGTACAAATGGTTGGTTTCCCCATTGTCCTACCTTGATGGAGAGTCCATTGGGGTCGCTAACTAACGTTCGCTGCATCGCTGGATCGGCAAGCGTCCCGGGAGAAAACGGCTTCGCATCGATGTTGAAAGACGCCTTCTGTTTAGGGAGAGAGTTAGGACTTGTGAGTTCCCCTTTCGCGTCCTCCGTGGCTCCTTCCTTCGGCACGTCGGCAGCACAGTTTTCTTTCACGTCAGCGTTTTGTGGTGCTTCTACTTTATTTTCTTCCGTTCCTTTCGCTTCTCCATCGCCCTGAATCCTTTTCGTGCCTTCGATATCGTTTAATTCAGCTTGTACAGCCGCAGAAGCAGTGCCCACATCGTGCGCAGAGATCGTTGGCGCATCATTGACTTTTGCCGGCGGCAGGTCTTCCGATGCTGGTGCGGTGGCATCTGCAGATGCGGGAGGCACATTGGCATCGGCTGTGCCGTCGGAGTGTGTTTCTACCAACGCGGCATTTCTTCCTGCGTCTTGAGTCAACACGCTCTTGGCTTCGTCGCCGCCGATTTCGTTCGAGACGACACCGTCCAAGTCGACTGTGTCTGCCATTGCTGCCTTGTCGCCTCCTTTTTCAGCGCTGACAGATTCGTCAAATGGGACTGGTACTTCGATAGCTGGGGCTGTTGTATCCGACATTTCGCTTCGCAACAGACTTCGGTACACAAATAAAAACCTAATAGAGGAAATATGCGCTTACTTTTCTCCCTATCTGCGATACAGCTTTCAAAAGAAAGATACAAAGAGTTTTCAAGATTGTGAAGAATTGATTACAAGTAGTGCTGCATGAAAACAAACACATTATTTGTGTTACAGCCTTGGTAAGTCCTTTTCCGGGACTAAATGTTTCACCGTGAAACGAAAAAGATTGCAACGGCGAGTCCCGCCCTGAAAACTGCATTCTCACTGCCTCACAAAACGCAACTGGATAAGTAATTATAATTGCTATATATGTTAAGTAGTTGAAACACGATAAACTCTATACGCACGAGAAATGCTAATAATCTTGCTACGCCAGTTGCTAGGAGAAAACCGAACACTAAAGAAAACTACCAGTTCTGATAGAAGAGCCCAATAACAATCAAAATTTAAATATTAAACAACTTCATTCCAAAACGCGATTTCGTTCTTACAGCGCATTACTTTAAAGCTCAGTGGCATAAGAGCTGTTTCTCACTTTTTGTGAAGTCTTCAGGAAACTAACCGGTCAATCAGTTTATTCTTCCTGGCCAACAGAAGGTAAACCCCACACGCAACACGCTTTGCTGGTGCGTTTTTTTCTAGCAGATGTAACGCGAAAACACGCAACTAATAACCGCCTCTTCTATCACACCGAGGGAGACTACCCACTATTTTGTACTCGCGGTGCCACGAAAGCGGCTTCCAAGGAATCTCCTCAACCGCTGACGCCAAACATCGATGCACCAGACAGTTGCTTTTGCGCTCTGACGTACAGTACCGCGTCGATCCAGACACACACATCATTAGAACACAAAATAAATGGAGTCAGCTTTCTTCCCGTGACTTTGGGTCACTTCCTGGGATTTGGTCTTTTGTCACCGCACCACCGTTTTGGGGGGTCAAAAGTTGCTCCGTGCACCTCACGCTCTCAGAGTGGACATGAGCAGCACCAATGCAGCCCTGGAAAAGACGACAAACGCCTTGAACTGCTTATCCCCACGCGTCGTCCCAACTGGCACTTTGCAATACGGCGTCCTCCTTCGCAGCGGCTTCCTCCCTCCCCCCCCCCCCTCCGGTGACCTGTCTGAATCTCTTTTTTCCTTCGAGGAAAAGAGAGAAGAGTAGAAGAAAAGGTTTGCAACTCAAAAAGATGGTAGTACCATTGTCAGCTTCTCGAGCGCTGAAGGCTTTACTTCCACTCGTGCACTCGGTGTTTTCCCTTCTCAAGCGCTGTTTTGAGTGATTATCATGTTTCATATAACAGCAATTGTAGAGCTATAAAAACCAGCTGTCGTTGGGGACAGACAAGAGCACTTTCGCTGAGTTGCAAACTCAGCACCGAATAATCTGTCGAGTTCACCACACAAGTCTGCTGTGAAGTGTGTGACAGTTTGCTGCAGGTTAACCGGCAAGAAATTCTCCGCCGTCAAACATTGAATATCTCCCCAACGGCCTGCCGTTTTCCACGCCTGGAAGACCGCTGCGTGACCGCGTGACCTGTTGTTCAGCGCTGTCATGACAAGCTCTATTTTTCTCTGTGTTGTTGGTACCGCCTGCTTCTGCGGAATGCGGTTGATAGAGTACGTTTTCACCTGCATCATCACGGGATTCTCTTAACCTTGCAGAAGTTTCACTATTGCTCGTGCTGTCACTGCGTCCGTTGACTTTGTGTTGTTGCTGACCTTCATTTGTGTGATTGCGTTTGCAGACCGGTATTTTATTGTCTTCGGAGAGATTCTGTCTTCACCGTTCTTCTCGGCATGTTTCTTGGTTGCTGCAATGCTGTGCACCTGGCTGCGGTAGATGAGTCTGCGGTGTGGCCATACTCTCGTGGTTGCTGCCGCGGAAACCGTGGCCACGACGGGTGTCGTTTTCACGCGAGTTTCCTTAGATTTTGTTGCTGCGGCGCGCGTTCGAACATTTTTGTATCAGCAAGACACTACCACGAGACACTTGCACGGCATACGCTCTGGTTGTGGTCGAGGACGCGAACACTACAGGACAAATCGCTCAAATTCTCAGCAGTCGGAAGGCAGACAACCCAGCATCAACGCTGCTCACAACAATGAGTACGGATCAGATCAGCCGCGAGCTGAAACAAGCAAACGCAGCATCGATAGCGCACTCAATAAAACGAGGCGCTCTGAGCTTCCTCGCAACATGAGCCGCGCAGAATCAGCGCAAGCAAAAGTACATTCCGCTGTTAGCAAAGCATGGCGATGGCAAAGCCACAATGCAGGGGAACACGATTCGCCACATCACCGACTACGTGGCGTTAGCGAAAGTGATCGGAACCCAAAAGGCGACACTAGTCTTTCACGTTATGAAGATGGAGAAGACCGAGACAACCTTCTCGACAACGCGAAACGTGTAGCAGATCTCTTTTAGATGAACCACTGGCAAAAACAAGAAAGAAACCTGTCAACTGGTGAAAAAGCTGACAGCGGCAACACCGCACGGCCAGCCACGGCACAACGCAATCAAGACCAGCTTTATCAGCTTGCAGACAAATGCTATCGTCTCTGCACGGCAATGATGCACAAAGAAAGCGTCGCAGGTCGTGGCGGCTATCTCGGTCGAGGTGCATGGAAACTGAAGAAAGCAGCCATCACGGAAGAAGACTTCCAACATTCGTGGTGCGTCGGAAGTTGCGCCTCTCAACTTTCAGAGAGCTAGGTCACGCATGTGACCAGAGATCCCCTAGTGTGTGGACGATCTCCTTCACCTCCTTGGAGCAGACTGCTTTGCACACAGTCTAAGCACACCACAGGCGCCGGCTCCTAACTCCAGGGATTGCCAATCCCAAAACAAGTACACCAGAAGCGCGCCAGCACTCTCTGAGGTCAACACGGGCAATCCTCAAATGACCGAAAGAATTGGAAAAGTTCACAGCACGCACTCAGACACAGCAGCGGGCCGCGGCATCAGGCAGCAGACGGTTGACAGTATTACGCCTTTTACGGTATACAGGCATGCGTCAAGCAGTCCAAATCAGCATTTCAACAGGATGTGGACCACCGCGAAAGAGTGTAGAGTCTCTTTGTACACGAATGAGAGGTACACGGGAGAAGTCCCCGACTTCATAGGGGGTATATTTGAACCACGCAGCTCTCAAAGTGGCCGAGGCAGATCACACGTTCCAGAAGATTGGTGGTCCGACGCCAAGCATGACGGGCGGTGACTTGGAGCGACTGTACGTATGGCTCCTCCGCAGCTCGTCATTCCTACGTATACGCATCGCAGAGTTCAATTGGACATTGAAGCTCATTAGACGAAGGCTGTCTCAGCTCAGCCGGACACCTTTCCCAGTGAAGGAGCCGGCCTGCACACTCCCGACGGCGCGTGCACAACTCAAAAAATGATACTACCTGGCTCAGAAAAACCACCCACGAGCGATAGCGCCGGCCGTGGCAGCGAGAATGCTGACAATGACCCTCTACACTAGTTCCTCTGGAGCCGGTCGAGGAGCGGTGTTGATGCGGCACGAGTCCCAAGAAATCATGAGCGTTGATGAAGCATGGTCCGCAGCAGAGCAGCGCCACATGAACACGCTGGAAGCGAACACCGTGGCTCTGGTGGTAATACACTTGCGGCGATGGATTCCCGCAGGGTCGAACCTTCTTGCACGAAAAACTGCCGATGAGCTTATTTTTTTTTGTTCTTCTGTGTCGCCAGAAACTCGAGTCTCTAACGACGCTAACAGCTTTCTGCTTCACAGCAGTGTACAGGGGTTAATTTCCTTTTTACTGTTATGGTTTTGCTCATCCAAAAAACGGATTTTTTTCTCCTTTTACTGCTTCTTTCTCTCCCTTTTTTCTTTTCTCTTCTTTTAGGTTAATCTGTCTAGCTTGTACGCGTTTTCTGCCCTCGCCGGTACTATTTTTCTAACTCACACGTGAAAAGCCTTCGCGGAGCAACAGCTCTCCAGGGCATCCGTGCAGGGGTGGAAATAGAGGGGTTTGGCGCCGCTCTGCGGGGTGGCGGCCGACTCAATGGCGGTCGAAAAGGCCGCGTGGCGCAGGTGTCCCGGCCGGCTTTCCCCCGGCTCCCCAGGGTTCCCGGCGGCGCTCGCTCGTGGGAAAAGCTTCCCGGCCGGGAATTGAACCCGGGTCACCCGCGTGACAGGCGGGTATACTAACCACTATACTACCGAGAACTGTTTGCTAAACCGATGGATCAACGAAGTGAAATGGCGAAAAGTGATCTCTGTGTTTTTGGTGTCGAGCTCACAAGCAAATATGGCCGAGTGGTTAAGGCGCCTGCCTGCTAAGCAGGTGTGATCTCACGCGAAGGTTCGAACCCTTCTGTTTGCGAACTTTTCCTTACAGGAATGAAAGGTGCATTGAAAGCGTAGCGTTGAGCGCGTGGGCTGAGGGGATGTAGCTCAGATGGTAGAGCGACCGCTTAGCATGCGGTAGGTATTGGGATCGATACCCAACTTCTCCAGTTTTTTTGCGATCCCGCGCGCCGCAAAGGACAACGGCGGCGGAAGAAAAAGAGGGGAGGCGAAAGAGGGAAGTATGGAGAGCATATTCAAAAGCATCGCGAAATACGGCACACACACAAAAGCGTCTGCGCAGTCTCGAGCGACCGCATGCGAGGAAAGCGAAGTGGTAAAAAGTCGAGGAGCTCTGCGGCGACGCAGATGAAGGCAAAAGGCCGCTGTCCATCCTCGCCTGTCAAAAGTAGTGGGGCCATCTCGCCGGCATGCGACGCCCATAGTTTTTTTGTGGCTGAGCCGCAGTGCCCGGATTGCCCGTGTTCCTCCCTGCGAGCCAGTTCTTCTTCTTTTGCCATGAGACCTAATACAGAGGAGAAAGAAATATATAGAATTGAGTTCTAGAGAAAAATATGAGAAAGACGCGTGCGTTTGTGCTTTCTTAGGCCCTTCGCTCCTCTATGCTTCATGTTGGAATAATAATAAAACAAAACAAAACGCTGAGAGCGAAGGGTCTAAGAAAGCGACCAAAAGAACAGGAGCGAAAGCGAGAGCAGAGCATGGCGCGCGGCGAGACAGTTCCCTTCCGTTTCTTCCGGATAAGCGGCACTACAGGCAGTGGTCCTTAATCACTTTGTAGAGCACGTTCTTCGTGCTGCGCAGGCGCTCCGCTGCTTCTTCCCATTCTGTCGCAACCGAGCTGAGCGGCAGCGTGCGGCGGTGGCCTGACGGGTCGGTGTAGGTGACCACACGCCACTCCGAACTGAGGATGATCTCCGCGCCGTCCTCGAAGCACACCTGCACTGTTTTGTTCGACAGCCGAAAGACCAGCGCCCCATCAACGCGCAGCCAGCGCTTCACGTACACGAAGTCATTGAAGGTGTGCGGGTCGGTGCTTCGCGCCGGCGTAGGCGGCACAAAGGATGAGCACGTCACAACTTGTACCCTGTTGGGGGTGTTCTGCTCCCGGCTGAGGTAGGTCTTGAAGTACTTCGTCAGCGTCACCTTCTTGTCCAGCGCGGTAGGGTAGTCGTGCATGTTGAAGATCTGCAGCTCGTCCTTCGCGAAGAGGCCAATGGTGCCATCACGGGCGGGCATCTCAATCTTCACGCGCGCGTAGTACTCCACGCGGTCCGTGATGGGCTCCCACACGATCTTGGTGGAGTCGTTGAAGTGTGCGCCGGTCTGCCCGGTGTTGAGGCGGTAGGCCATCCCGTACTTGCTCGAGAAGTCAGCGCACTGCGTCACCCACACCGGCGGCGGCGGGGCCTCCTTGTCCGCGCCGTCGTTGCCACCGCCCCGCTCGCCGCAGAGCGTCTCGTGCAGGCGGTCGTGCAGCGCCGTGAGCTGCTGCTTCTCCTCCTCGTCGACGTTCATCTTCACCTCATCACGGTGGCGCTCCGCAGCGGCCGCGTTGGTCACTGCCCCGGCCGTCGGCGAGGCAGGGCTGGTCGGGCGAGTGTCGATGGGCGGGAAGTGGGTGCTGGAGGGGCGGCGGCCGGACGAGGGGGCCGCGACGCCGCCACGCGGAGAGCCGGGACGGCTGTAGTACGGTGCGTTGTTGTTCGCGTTGGTCGAGGTCGGCGGAGGGGCGTAGACACCATTGTTGTTGTTCACAAGCGGCGAGGCAAGCTGCTGCTGCTGCCGGAGGTTCACGAGGAGACGCGGCGAGGTCGGCACACCTTGCGGCGGCGGCACGTTCGCGCTGATGGGCCGCAGGATCTCCCGCTGCACCTGCACCACGTCCTTGCCGCAGCTGTACGGCACCACCGCTGGTGGGGGCGGGTGGTGCATGTTCACGTTCGAGTCGCGGCGGCCGGCGCGGGTCGAGGTCGGGGCAGGGGCATCGATCGCCGACGCACCCGGCACCGGCAGACCAAAAGAGGCAAACGACTCCGGCGGCGTCAGCGGCGGCGGCGGGGAGGAGAAGAAGGAGTGCTGGCGGATGTCCATGAGTGTGGGACGGTGGCTGGGGCTGCTCTGCAGGATGCTCGTGATGAGGTCGCGCGCGTTCTCCGGCACGCAGGAGGGAAAATCGTAGCGGCACTGACGGATGCGCTTGTAGGTGGACTCGACGTCTTCCATCTGGAACGGCGGCTGGCCGACCAGCAGGGTGTAGAGAATGACGCCCAGCGACCACGTGTCCACCTCGTAGCTGTGGCCGTGGCTCTTGTGGTCGATGATCTCGGGGGCGATGTAGTTCGGCGTGCCGCAGATCGTGCGCTTGCGCTCCCCGTCGTACTGCAGCTCTGCGGCGAGGCCGAAGTCGCCAATTTTCACGTTCAGCTCGCTGTCCAGCATGATGTTGCCAGGCTTCAGGTCGCGGTGGATGACGCACTGATCGTGCATGTACTGCATCGCAGCGAGGCACTGCAGCATCACGTACTGCGTCTCCGGCACGGTGAGGCGGCGCACCTTCAGCAGGTCCATGAGGGTGCCATGGTCACACTTCTCGAGGAGCATGTACACGTAGAAGCGGTCGCGGAAGGTGCGCATGAAGTTGACGATGTATTTATGCTTCATGCGCTTGTGGATGGCGATTTCGGTGTGCAGCTTCTGCTGCGTCTTGGGCTTGTCCAGCGAAGCGCGGTTCACCGCCTTGAGAGCGTAGGTGCCGGTCTCGTCCGACACCTCGTAGCACTTCGCAAAGCCACCGCGCCCGAGAACACGACCGCACGTCAACTTGTGCAGCTTACCGTTGGTGCTGTCGATCTCGTAGATGCTGGTGCCCGGCTGGAAGGTCGGCTTCGGCAAATCGGCGGTAGTGACAGGCGAGGCGCCGTCCGGGCCGTACGCGGGGGCAGAGCGCACCCCGCCAAGACGTTGCATGCGGTCCATCGGCTTGCCACGGGCACGGAAGCGCAGAGAAGACACAGGAGGAAAAAAGAGGCAAAGAGAGGTGCTAAATGCTCTGACGAAATCTGACCGGGTCGAGAAGCGCCTCTAAGCCAAAACGTGACAAGGAACAAGAAACGGCGTCAAGGACAAACGAAGAGGAGTCTCTAGAGGCCTCTGCACTTGCCGGTATCTATCTATGAGAGCGGCACGTCTGGGAGAAAAGAGAAAATGGAGGCGACACGCTTCGCGGACGACGCAGGCGGCAGAGCGAGCGCGGCACGAGAGGGTGCTGTGTCTGCAGCTGAAAAACAAAGCAAAACAGAAGAAAAGGGGGTAAGGGAGGTTAGCCGAGCACGTTGCCAAAGCAACACATAAATGAGTAAATGGAGTCTAGGAAAAAAAAATAAGTCGAGGAAATGGAGATCTATAGTGTATATATATATTGTCGGTGTGGGTCTACGTGTGCAGGGGGAGAAGAAAAGAAAAGATAGTGTGAATTGTAAATAAATAATGTTAGTAGTAGAAATGATAACAAGAGGTGCGCATCTCAAAGAACTACAAGGAAAGAAGAAGGGACAAAGGAAAGCTGCTTGCAGATTGCTTGGCGGGTGTATATATATACGTAGAGAGAGAGGCCAGACAAGCAACGAAGGCAACCACACGACGTCAATAAAAGAAGAAAATATGGTCAAAGAAAAGTGGTACTTTGACGTTAATTACTGTTATCTGCGTGGTGTACAGCGCATCACGGAGTCACCGGCAATGAGGAATGCGAGCGCGGTCGAGAGAGAGAGAGAGGAGAGGAGAGGAAGAGGAAGAGGAAGAGGAAGAGGCAGAACACACAATTGTGAAATTGGAAGCAACAGAAGATTCGGCGCTTGGGCACGCGCTACGCGCACAAGAACGGAATGTCCAAGGAGGGTATCACCCACCTACGCACACTCTCTCACACACGCAGCAGTATCATTGCATTCCTATACTCAGTGCAGGAAGTGTTCTCGTCAGGGAACAAAATGGTAGAACCTGTAATGTGTCGTGGTGCTGCGCAGCATCACAAAGAACGGAGTCGACTACTATTATTACCACTTGTGTCGTTCTAGGGAAAATGCTGGCGGAGGTGGCCAGTATGCGCTCTTGTATACAAGAGTGAATACAAAAGAAAGAAAGAGATCAGCACGATAGTTTACAGATCAAAGCAAGCAAGCAAACAGCGTTGCGCAAGCGACTCGAATATGTATAGTAACGAGTGAAAACAACAAAAAAACAAAAAATCTTTAAGTGGAGGCCAAAATAGTCGCTTCAATTCGTTTATCATGAGTATTTTCCCTCTTTTTGTGAGTCGGACAACAGCCATCACCATCACCACCACCACAAAACCTTCGTCAGCGTTACTTCTCCTGACCCCACGTCCACGCCTTGCTCACCGCCTTCTGTGCCTCATGGAAAGGCACTACACCAACGTCCTTCCCCGTGAGGAAACCGACGTGGTCGGTGCGGTTGGCCGAGGTGGACAGCACCACCTGCCCCACCGTCACCGCCGAGTTCACCGCCGCCCTGCCGCTCTCTTGCGAGGACACGATGTTGCGCAGCGACCACGTCAGGATGTAGTCGCCGCAGCTCGCCGTCACGCAGAGCTCCTCTGTCCCGGGGAAGCGGTCGAACCTCGCGGTGTGGAAGCGCACAGCGCTGGCGCCGCCCATCTGCATGATCTGCGCCGGCGTCGGCTGCAGGAGGATCGGCTTCGGCTTCTGCGCCCCCATGCGTCCCTGAAACCCGTTGGTCGCCTTGTCGTTACTGTCGATGTACTTGGTCTCGATGAACAGTAGCAGCTGCGCGGTGGTGGCCACGATGTACTTGCCGTCTGCCGTGACATCGATGTCCACAATCGGCACCTTCGTCTCCAGCAGCGTCTTCGCTGACTTGGGGTAGTAACCGCCGGCCGGCTTGCGTGCGCCGGGGGGACCGGTGTAGAGGCGAATGCTACCGCTGCCGTCGCCAATCACGAGGTAGCCGTTGCGCGAGGTGGCATGGCACGTGAAGTCTTTGCGGAGCGTACGCACGGCGTAGTCCGTTGGCTGCTTGCCGTCCTCCATCACGACGCAGCTTCGAGGGTCCATGCGGGTGTCGATGTTGAAGGCGACGTTGCGGCCGAGACACGTATAGACGGCGCCGGAGTCGGCCGAGGCGTGGTTCGCGTAGGACAGGCCTTGGATGTCCAGGTCCTGGGGCTTGTACTCCTGCACGACGGAGCCGGTGGCGAGGTCCACCTGCTGCACCGCGGCCTTCTTGCCGCCGAAGAGGAGCAGCTTGAGATCGCCGTTTTCGAGCAGGGCGCCGGTAGCGGTGCCGTCCACGGCGGTCACCGCCACCTTCTCCGCACCTGCCTGGTCAAAACCACGCTCCGTCACAGGCAGGGCCTGCATCTCCAGACTGGCCGCCTCATTCCCTTTCTTGATGACCAGCACTCGGTTGAACTGCAGGGACTCGGCGGCGCAGATATTGTCCGCGCCGGTGCCCGCCACCGTCATGCGTGCCGGGTCAAACTCGAAGACGTGCTCCGCGGCGTCCTCGTTGCGCAGCTCGTGGCTGGCAGCCCCGCCGAGGTAGTCGTACCACTCATCTTCCGGGTCCACCTCGTCGTAGCCGGTGAGGAGGCTGTAGGTGCACTGGTTGTACAAGGCAACAAACCGCTGCATGCACATCCGTGGCGTCACCTGCGCCGCCTTGTCTGCCGGCGCGGAGAAGCGGAAGGCGACCGTCTCTAGCTCCTCTTCGATAAGGGCCGGCCAGTGCACGGAGGCGGCCTGGTCGGAGTAGGTCAGCTGCAGCTCTACCCCGAGCGGTTGCTCAAAGACCACCTCCTCGTCTTCGGTCACCAAGATGACGTACTCCGCAGCACTCCCGCTGGTCTTCTTGCGCTTCTCTACGGTGATGGCGAAGGCGTCAACGTCGCCGAGGGGGTCGTAGTAGGGGCGGCCGCTCTCCTCGCCCGCGTACTGGTACAACGTGCCCTCGCAGGTGAAGAGCACAGTAGAGGTGGGAGGCATGTCGAACTGCTAAGTGACAATGAAGGTTCTTGCTTGGGTAAAGATGACGGATCGAACACGGTAGCAGCACAATACAGAAAAGAAGGCGCGTGTGAGGAGAGAGGGAAAGGGTGAGAAAGGGGAGGTGAGATAAGCACGCAAGGTAAATGAGAGGTGCGCAGACTGACGGTGACGGAGCGGTGCTGTTCTTGGAAAACAGACAAGCAGCTTTGCAGCTCGCCGTACCTTGACAAACAACAACATCATTATATTCTTTAAAAGAGAAGAGGACAAGGACGTTGTCCCTGCTTCTGGATGTCCAGCAAACAGATTACCGTGTACAAATCGACAAAAATTGGCTTTTGCCACAGATGAGGAGAGACGTTGTCTGCAACTTCAGCTAGACAAACGGGCAGAGGAAACCAACGAACAAACGAGCTCTTTCACTCCGATGCACTGTCGAGACGCCGAACTAGCACCACGTCTGACATGCGTACCGGCGTCGCCGCTGCACTCGACAGGGCAATGGCCCTCACCAACGCCCGCAGCGTGCACCACGGCGTTCCCCCCTCTGCTGCGCTCTTTTTCGCCGGGGCGGCTTCCTGGGGCGTTCCGCCGAGGTGTCGCCAGAGAACCACCGCTTGGCGGAGTGTCTTGGGCAGCACATCTACGTGTCGCAGCCGTCGCCCCGGCACGGAGGAGGAGGACGATGGAGGGTGGGAGGCGGCAGACCCGTTTCGTGCCGACGACAGGTTCTGCGGCTGCTGTGGCAGACGTGTAGAGGTTGGTGACGCCGCGGACGGGCACGGCGCTGGACATCCGTCGGCATCGACGGCGCACAGAAGGCGCTCCCACAGGAGCTCCAGCTGACCACGTGCAAGTTCCTCGGCGTTGGCGGCCGTGGCGGGCCACCGCAACGCTGCCGTCATGGACGCCATGCTCTCCCTCCCCGACGCCTCGGAGAAAACGCCATCGCCCTCCTCGTCGTGCGAAGCATCCGCGAGGGAGGGCGATGGCAGGCGGACGGGCAGCCACAGGTGCGCGCCGTGCTCCGCCAACGGCACCACCTCCACCTCCGAGATCACCGCGAAGTACACCGCCGAAGATGCAGCAGAAGTCGTTGCAAAGGGACGGCCATAATGGTTCTGAGGATGGTGGACCGCTGCGTTTGCTGCCACCCACGCCGCGGCCGCCTTCCCACACGCAACCACCACATCCGCCTCGTCTTGAAGAGCGCCGAGCTGCGTCGTCGGCTCATCGCAGAAGAGGAGGAGAAGACCGCCGCGTTGGTGCCACAGCACACAGGTGTTGGCCCAGAAAGGCGAGGACGACATTGAGGCTGGATGGGCAGCGGCCGTGGTCGTGGCGGCGGCGGCAGTCATGGCGATCGGCCCCAGCTCGTGCAGCGTCCATGGGGTGAAGAAGAGACGGAGGGAGTGCAGAAACTGCTGCGTGCTGAGGCTGGGGTGGTGGGTCGGGTTGCCACGTGGGAGGACGAGGGCAACACGTGGCAACGAGGAGAGATCTGCGGAGAAGGTGGGCTGCGCCGACAGCTTCTCGACTCCTTGTCCCTGCTGCTGCTGCCGATTTTCAGAACGGAAAAGCGCAGGGCTGCGAAAGACATCCGCCACCAATGCGTAGACGGCCTGAAAGACAGGAAAGGCCTCACCGAAGCGTGCGGGGTCCACACACCACTTCTCGTAGACGTCCTCCACCGATCCGAGCAGCGCAGGCGGGGTGCCGTGACCGAACAACGAGGACTCTGCCACCTGAGGCACCGGTTTCGCAGTTGGATTCTCACGCACGGCGCTGGGGGACGTGGACAAAGAAGACACGGCGGCCATGACGGCGGCAGAAGCGTCGCCAAAGGCATCGAAGAGGGCCGATGCGGCGGTGTCCGTGAAGGTGCCGAGGGCAACGCGCTCCAGCAGCGCGGGCGTCAGTGCTTGAAGGGGGCTGTCCTCGGTTGTTCGGGGCCGCTTCTGTGCTGATCTCTTCTGCTTTCCATTCGTGCTCGACGTGCCATTCATTTCGAAAGAGGACGACAGTGGAGGTGGGGCATCGGCCAGAACACTCGCCAGCAGCGTGAGTTGCTCCGGACTGCACGGGACAAGAAGCTTGTGGTCCCCAAAGATGGCGCCGGAAACCTTCACCACGCTTGTCGCAGCGCTCTGTGTGTTGGCGGTGGCGGTGGTGGTCGTCCCCGACCGCAAAGATGGTGAAGGAACATCATGCAGGTTGCACACCAGACGCGCGGAGCTGAGGTGGGGCAGCATACGGAGTAGCACCTGTTCCGCCGTGACCCCGCTGCCTTCTACCCGATCATCGTCTTGACCTTTTTCGTATTCTCTAAACGTGACGAGTCCGTCAATGGGCGGCGCGGCTCGGAGAAGGCGGGCCAGCTGTGTGGCCACCACCGACGCCGCGCTGCTGGCATCCGCGTTGGCGTTCGCGTCCTCCTCGCCCGTGTCATCGCGCAGCATGCAGAGCCACACCTTGCACACGGTGCCGAACGCAACTGGGATGCGCGGTGGCCGCGGCGGTCTGCCCTGACACACGTCCTCCGTTCTGGTTGCCGTCGTGGCAGAGGAGCTTGAGGTTTGGGCCGCGTAGCTGCTCTCCTTTCCGCTGCTGCTGTTGTCAGTGCCATCCTGCAGCTGCACCACGTGCCCTCGCACCGTCATGTACACGTGAAAGCGGCGAAGTGCTGCGTAGCTGTCGAAAAGGGCAAGGATAACAGGCGGCGGACACCCGGATAGGCCGTCCCGTGGAGAAGGACCCCGCCACGGCGGTGCAGGGTGGGGCAGTGGCGTGCGGGCGGAAGAGGGGTGACGCTGCGTCTCCATGTAGGTGTTCACCTTCTCGAAGACACGCGCAAAGAAGACATGGAGAGTGAGCGGGACACGGTAGCGAGCTGTCAACACGGTTGTGGTGCCGTGCGCGGATGAGCTATCCTCCGTGCCGCTTCCCCACACGAAATGAGAAGCAGCACCGCCGTCATCGGCTGTTGCTTTCGCGGTGCCTGCCTGCTGGAGCTGCTGTGGCGCCTCTTCCGTGTCTTCGGCACTGACCTCGGACGTGAGGCTCCTGCCCTTCGTTTCCAACGCTTTCTTTCTCTTAGACGTGCTGCCTCCTTTCAAGCCCTCGTCGTGGCTCTGTGGCGCCGCACCATCCTCATCGTCGTTATCGGTGTCGCTGAGGCACCAGAGGTTTCGCAGACGGGAAGCACAACGCTGCTGCGTCGTTGACAATCGACTCGCCCTCCTGCGCCCGTTGCGGACCGTCGAGGAGGTCAAGGTGCTGTAGATGTCGCTCACCGGCAGCGGACCGTCATCCGGGGCGACACAAAGCACTCGCTCTAAGAGCGAACACCGCGCAGGCGACGCGGAGGTGTTCCCCACACATTCCACCGCGTCATTACTGCGACGCTCTCCTGTGCCGTTGCTGTCCTGCAACCAGCGCGTGAGACAAGCGGGTGGGCAGGGGATGCACTCGTAGAGCGAGATGGCTTCGTCGTCGACGCCCGGGTCGGTGAAGAGAAAGGACACGGTGACGGTGCCCGCCATCACCTGAATCCCGGTCACCTCCGCCAGGGCGTAGTGAAGGCGGTAAGGTGGTGGTGGCGGTGGTGAAGACGCGTAGGCGGAATTCAGAGACCCCCGTGCGAGGGGGGCGCCGCTCTGCACACGACAGGGTGCGAAGATGACGGAGCCGACAGTCAACGTGCCGAGGTGCGGGCCGGCGGTGCGGTTGCCTGTCCATGCTGGCCGCCACAGGGCAAAGAAGTCAGAGGCGGAAAAGCGGACGAGGGATTTGGGCGGCTGCGATGTTTTCTCGTCGTCGTCGTGCAGATTGGCTTCAACCTTCACCACGTTGTCGAACGCAATGGGAGTCTGCGAAGACGATGACGACGGCATTGCTGGGCGTTGACTCTCTGGCAGGTCGTCACTCGTGACGGAGCGAATCATCGCCTCAGTGGTTGCGAAAGAAAAGAGAAAGAGGCTTTGCAGGCTGTATAAGAGAGAGAAGAGAGAAGAGAGCGCCTTTTACGAAAGGGAACGCAGTTCTATGCAGATGAAAGCGTTGATGATTATTTCTCTTGTGTGTTTTATTCTATTCAAAAGCTGTGGTGTTGTATGGCTCTTTGCGTGGCATGCGTTACAGGAAAGAACGGCATCCCTATGTAAGCCTGGGAGACGTACCGGCTGCGCCTGCTTTTTTAAAATTGAGGCATTGTTGGGATGAGGTGCAACACACCGTGTACGCAGCGGAAGAGAGAGAAGAAAGAACGACGGGAGGAGGGTAGGGCGATGGCGACACGAAATGAGACAGCGAGAGGAGGAGCAAGAGTCCACGCACTGTCGGACGGCTGCAAGAATCGCAAGCAACAACAAGAGGATGCCCGTGCGAGTCGCTAGGTGGCTTTTCCACAGCATGGAGCATTACATTTTTTCTTCTTTCCTTTGTCTGGGCAGAAGACCCCCAGAGGCCAAAGAAGTGTGCGTCTGCGAAGTGGTACCCGTGCCCCGGAGGTGTGCATCAGGCGCACTGGAAGAAGAAGAGGAACAATAAATGTGTATAGCAGATAGCCCAGAAGCAGCGTTGGTCGAGAAAGAAGATAAAGAGAGGAAGGAAGTTCCTTCATAACAAACAGTCGATTGGGGTGTGGATGTGCGCCTGCTTGCGTCCTCCTCTCCCCATCCCTGCTGAAGCAGAACACGCTCTGTCGCTACGCGTTGAAAGCGGCCAACGAGGCAAAAGACGGACGGCCGTGCGAGCACACGTAGTACTGCTCCACACATTCCAGCGCCGCCACCATGTGTCGCGCCGCCGCAGGCGTGACAGCGTCACCAAACATGAGCGCACCACGACAGGAGCGAGAGATGAAGAAGCGAAGGAAAGCCGACGGGATCGAAAGGAGAGGAGAGGAAGCCGACGTGGGCGTAGCAGCCGCACCAAGGGCCTCCAGCTCCTCCACCGTGTCTGTCAAGGCTCGCAGCGACGTTACCCGGTGTTCCACACCCTCCACCTCCACACAGGGCCACGACCGGACAGCCGTTGCAAGACGGGGAGAGTCGGAGAAGGGTGCGCGGCATGAATCGTCCACCAACTCATGCTGAAACCGCCATCCCCATTGAAGAAGATGGGACTCCACCAATGACACGCGTAGGCGCCACTCCGCAGGGATCAGTACGGGAAACGACGCGAGTGCAGTGAGGGATGGCGCGTGGGGAGCGGAGGGGGAAGCAGGTTCCGCCACACAAGAAGAGGTGCCCTTTTTCTCCACCAGGCTTCGCAAGAGACGCGTATTTTGCTGCCGGCGCTCAAGGGCGTGCCGTGCGTGACGACTCAGCCCCGGCACGGCAGACGCAGCACCGACGCCACTGCACTTCCCTGTTCCCCTCACCGTCGCACGGTGGGTTGCGGCCGCCTGCGGCAGCTCAGGATGTTGGACGTACGTATCCGCAAAACACAGGAAGAATTCAAGGCGAACGCGCTCGTGCACCGCGTGCTGGTCCAGTACCCACCACCGTAGATGACGTGGATGAGGCGACGTGGAGAAAAGGGAGGGCAGAGGAGATTGTGGGAAGTATGCTTCGACCAGGAGAGACGACGGCGGTGCCGTCTCCGCCTCCTTGACTTGTGCGTGCCCTTTCCCGAATATGTGACGTGACGACGCTGCTTCTGGAACACCGCAAGGACGCTGCGCCAGCAGAATAAACTTCCGAGCCCAGGGAAGCACAGACACGCTCGTCACTTGCGCAGACCCAATCGGCGGTGTCACTGCGGGTTGGCGAAGTGGTACATCTCCTGTACCAGGAGCTGCTCTGTCTGCCGGTGACCAGGGCTGTGGCGGGTTACACGCGCGTGGCAGCTGTCGCAGCACACTACCGCGTCCTGTGTCCAGCAGGTGCCGCATGCGAGCCATTCTCCCCTCCGCTGCAGCAGCAGCAGCAGCAGCGGCCGTACGCACTCCACCCAGCACCGCCGTTGCCACTTCAAAGTTCGTGCTCTCCGGTTGGAACGCAGCTGCCCGCTCTGCCTCTTCCAAAATGATCTCCGACAGTTTTGGGTGAAGCGAGACGGGGGTGCGGCGTGGGAGTGCGGCGGGGGCCGCTGCGAAAGCCGCCGAAGCAGCATCCTTCGCTCGGCCACCACAACCCGTCGCGTTCATCCAGAGCGTCGCCGGCGCCAACCGCACACGATGCCAAGGCGCTGGCGTCGCTGATCCTTTGGAAGCTGAAGGGATAAAAGACTGCGTCCCAGGCGCAGCGGCGGCCTCCAGAACGCGCTGAAAGACGTACTGCATGCGTAGGCCGACTTCTCCGCTTCTCTCGCCAGCATGAGAGTCCGCAGTAGCGGCAGCAGAGTCACGCACAGCCGCCTCTGTTGGTACATCGACGGTGGGACTTAACGAGTAGATGCGTCGATCGGCTGCTGGTGTGGAAGGCTCTGCCTTGCCGCTTACCAACGAGACACAAGGCGTCGTCGGCTGCTGCTGTGGAGATGGCTTTTCGGATGCTGGCACGTCCAAGGTTTCTTCTGTGGTCGCTGAAGGACGTCCTCCGGGACAGACACGCTCTACTGCAGCCGCATACAACTCGGAAAAGGAGGAAAGAAAGGCAGCGGCGCCTTCCCTTGAGTCCTGCTGCGCCTTCGTTCGCTGTCGCTGGCGGCACTCGCAGAGGCGTGTCGGCACATACGCGGCATCCACAAAGATAAAGACGGGAGAGGCGATGACGAGCGAGCTGAAGCGACCACGCAGGGAGCGCGACTGGGCGGCCACCACATCGTAGGCCCAGTGATCGGGCTCAAGGACGCGACGCGTGGGCCACACCGCACCGGTGGGAAATGCCGTCGATTCCAATGGCATCGTTTTTGAGTCGGCGGTGAGGATGAGAAAGGTGGCGGGGTGTTGCTGGCGGCCGTCGGAGAGCGTTACGGATGGCGAGGAGGACAGGCTGAAATGGGGCGAGCGGCGGACAGATGAACACGACGGCGGCGACGCTGAGGACGCGGCGGCATCAGAGGTGAACAGGCAAGGCTTGGAGAACGCGTGGAAGATCACCGCGAATTTCCCGGGCTGCATCACCACCTCTGTAAAGCGTGAGCAGCTGCGATGGACGTTCGCTTCGTCGCCGTCATGCAGCGATGCATCCACTGCTGCGCGAAACGAACGGCGCTTCTGCGCTGTTTGTCGGCGCTGCGAGGAGGTTCGTGGAAGAAGGAGGTCGATGCCGAAAACGGCGCAGAGCTCCTCTGCGGTCGCCTCCCCTTGTGTTTCACCGCGCCACCTCGTCTCCGGCGACGAGAGGGTCTGCGTTGCCTCCTTAGAGGAAAGCTGCTGCCATTTCTCTTTCCTTGTCATTCCTTGTGCCTGCTGCACCGTCAAGCGTCCACTGCATACGCCGAAGCGGTCACAGAAAAGCCCTTGTCGTGTTCCTCGCCGATCTGGCAGACTTGACAAGTTGTCGTCTGTGCATGCGCCTTCTATCAGAGCCACGAGGCGGCATGCTTCTGGTGGAGGGAGTGCGGAAGGGCAGTGGCATGCTACTTCGCCAAATGGAGAGGTCTCACGCTTTGCTTTGCCTCCTACACCGCCGCTATCGTTGCTTTCCCTGAGGAGGCGAGCAGTGAAGACGGAAGGGAACTCCATCGTCGCCGCGGCTTCGTGTGAGGCGCAGGGGTTGGCATGCAAGTACAGTGGCGCAAGCACGGTGCACACGGCGGTCTGGAAAAGCACGGCAAAGAGGTGCTGCTGCTCCTCACGCCGTGTGCGCTGCGCCGAGGCCGACGTCGCTGCCCAGCGTGACGACAACGATGAATGCAAAAGGTCCTGCGTTTGTCTGTCTAGAACACCAGAGGGCGTCACCTGGAAGGCGGCTTGGCGCAACGGAAGGTTATGGAAGAGCCCGCGAACGCAACAGCGTGTGCGAAGAAAGACCTCGTCGACCTGATCCGCAGCACACACGCGTCGATAACAGAAGTTGACAAAAGGTGGCCGACTCGTGATTGTATGCCTACCGGCAGGAGCAGCAAGACCAACAACAGCCGGCATCATCATTTCCTGTCCGCAGTGCCAGCGTTTTTCAAAGCACACATAGGGGGCAGGTAACACGCGTTTCCCTTCATGGCAGCAGGTGCCGCCGCTGGCCGGTGGTTCAAGCAGCCACACAGAAACACTGACATCGGTGCAGATGGACGCCAGTCGACGGAGAAGATCGAGCGGGGCCGAATCAGAAGGCGCGTCTGCGGCCGGCGCGCCTTCCGCCCTGCTTCTCTTCCGCGGCGGCGGATGCGCCACTTCACAAGCATGGCCGAAGCCTCGCTGAGGGACGGTCCGCGATGCATCGTCCTTGCCCTTGTCGTCGTCGAATGGAAACGCAACGCTTCGCTCAATGTCCCACGCAAACGCTGGGAGACACACCGATGCCTCGACGCTGACACGACCGCGGCGGCGAGGCGGTGAAGCGGGGCTCCCCGCCTGCGCCACCGACGAGACAGCCGGCCGGTGAGGCGAAGGGCGCTGTCCGTCGCGGTCGTGCGACAGGGCAGAGCCGCGGAGGGGGCTGGAAAGGTACGAGCCCCACACTTCCTTCTCCAGCGCCGGCAGCGCCGCCTGCGCCACCGTGGCCAACGCGTCGGAGAAGGTGGGGAACTCCGCGCACGCGGCGAGCACCGCGGCGTCTGTGTGCGGGAGCCGGTGGATGCGGGACGTGGTGGGCGTAGAAGAGGACATCACGTCTGAGACGGAGGGCGTGTCTGCAGCTGGAGGTGTGATGAGGAGGGTGCTGCTTGGAGAAGAGTCGCACAGAAACTCGAGAAAGCAACAACAATAATAATAATAGTAATCATAGTGAGCGTTTCCGCTTTTTCCTTCTGTGGGTGAGGGGAGTATCAGAGAAATAGTGCGGCGAGGGCCGTTGAGGGAGGTGCAGCGAAATCTCCCAGAAGATTACTCTCCCCCTCGCTCCTCCTTACGTATGCAATGATCTCGTGTCTGCGCTGGATGTCTGATAATCGTCAGCGGTGGTGCCCATCGTCAACAAAAGGGCAGCAGTAGAAACAACAAGAAAGAAGCTCACGATCAGCGTAGTCAGGGTAGAAGGCGGAGGAGCAAAGAAGGAGATGAGATGGAGTAGAAGCCAAAAAACATTTGAAGGAAAAAAATGCAAGAGAGGGGGCCTATTAGAATGCTTTATTCCGCCCCCTCTGTTCTTTTCTTGATTTGCAGGTCGAGTGTGGTCCTCGAAAACCGCTTGCCTCTTGTTGCTCCCTGTTCGGGCACAGGCAGCTAAATACAACCCAACAAGGATTGCGCATGTAAGCAAAAAAATAAAAGGCTTCGCTGACACAACCTGCTGGTGAGAGCGGCAGCAAAGCGCACGTACAAGGGTGCATGTATAAGTTGTTGGAGTTTTTTTTCTAGGTTTGAAGACGACGGTACATCGCTAGCACAATAACACAATCAACACAAACGGAAAGGCATCATCATCCACAGTTGCGATGGCAGCTTACAGAAAGAAGAATCCCCCCTTTTTCTTCACATGTGGAGAGCGGGATGATGAATGGAGAAAAGAAAAAAGAAAACCACAACCACCACAACAGCACAAGGGAGGTCAAGGACATAAAGGGGCCCTCATCACACGAACAGCATCGACAATAATAAAACCAACGTTGACAACGAACACGCTTTTTTTCTTCTTTAGTAAACATAGATTAAAAAGAAAAGAGAAAAGGAGTGAGTGTGTGTGTACATAGGTGAATCCAAGCTATTCCAGAAAAATCAAAAAAAAAGAGAGAAAGCAAACAAAACCGCTGAACAGCACTTGCCACCATTGCCGGCGCGAAAAGACAAAAGAAAAAAAATAACAAGAGCGAAGAAAATGACTTCGCAGAGAGAGAGACGGAATGATGATGATAATAATAGGAATAATAAAGACACGTAATTGAAGTAAGTGTACATAATTGTTGGCTTTTTCCCTACGCCCTTCCAATAATAATAATAATAATAAATGGCCGGCAACAAGGCAACAAACCAGATGAGCACGACTTGTTGTCGCTGACAAAACCATCTGGCGCAGGGCGCCTCGGAGATGCCTGATGAAGGAGAAGAAGAAGAGGGAAACGATCAACACACACACACGCAGCATTAATCGAGACGGAGCACCATTACCTCACTTTCCTGCTGTGGCAGCTGCGGCGAGCCATCGCCAGGCACCTCGTTCTCTTTTTCCACCTCCTCCACCGTTCCGTCCGGGGACACGAGATCGATGTCGCCGTTCGACGCCTGCGCATCGTTGCTGCGCCGCTCTAGACAGAAGGGCGCCGTCGTCACCGCAGACGTGTAGACGTGGGCTGTGTCAACGGAGGGGGAGCGTCCGCAAAACACCGGGACCTTCTGTTCACGCGGGGTAGCCCGACCGCTGGTGTCAGCGGTGGTGCACAATGCAGTGATTTGCTGATGCTGCTGCTGGCGCTCTTCCCACACACGTGCGGACGGCGCCGCTAGCTTGTTCGAAGGGAGCTCGAAAGGAACGATGGCGCTAGGAGCTAAGGACAGGAGGGGGATGGTCACACTCGAGTGCCGCCGTGACAGGACAGAGAGGCCTTCATCGCTTTCTTGCTTGTCCACGTCCTCGCTGCCGCTTCTCTGCCGCCGCGGCTGCTTCGACACCGCGAAGAGCCGCGCCGTCAGTGGATGATGTTGAAGGTAGTACACCCCACTGCAGTGTGGAAGCTGCGCACCTGTTTCTGCTGTCGACGCCTTCTGCTCCTCATCCGCCTCCTCCACGGGGGTGAAGTGTGTGGCGATGAGGGGGTGGAGTTGCGCTTCCGCGGGGCTGAGTCGCTCCGCGGCGTCCCAATAGAGGCAGCCCAGCAGGAAGTCCACCCACGCGTAGGGGTGCGGCTGCTCCTCCTCCGGCGCTGCACTGGTGCTGCTGCACGAGGGGGCTGCGGATACAGCGGGGCGACGGGAACCCGCCGCCACTTTCAAAGTAAAGATCTGCTCGTCGACATTCGCCTGACCCTCCGGAAACAACGAGGACAGGAGGGCACCCTGCGCCGGTGTCTCCCACGTGGTGCTGCGCACCGCCTCATCCCCTGCGCTTTCCTCCATGACGCCATCGTCGTGCGTCTCGCACGGACTGGTCGCGGCGGACACGCTGCCGGAGAGGTGGGTGGGGCTGCTCAGGCGGCGACGGCGCTCCGCACGAGCGCGCTGCTGCCCCGCCGTGGTGTTCAACACCTGGATGAAGCCCCGCCAGACCCGCTCTACCGCCGCCGCCGCCGCCTCCTCCTCCTCGTCCTCGGACGGCACAAAGACCGACCGAGGAGGAGGTGCGCTGGGCTGAAGCACAGCTGAGGCGCCGCCTTCGTGGTCCTGTTCCGTCAGATCGACGCTGAACGAAGTGCTGGGCAGGGCAACGCTGCTGCAGCGAGCCACAACGGCCGCAGCACCGCTACCGCTACTACTACTACTACTGTTTCTCGTCTCCCGCTGCTTGTACGCCTTCCAGCACACCTTTACCATAGAGAGAAAGGTGGTGTTGGGCATCCCAAGCGATTCAACCGCCGCGGCGAGCATCGTGGCGTCGTCGCACGCGTTGGGAAGGAGGACGCGACCCGTGCGCAGCTCGTAAAGCACGCAGCCGAGGGACCACATGTCGATGGCGGTGGTATAGGGCAGGCGCAGCGCCATCTCCGGGGCGCGGTAAGAGGGCGATTGGAGGGGGAAGGTCACACCGGTCTGACCGGGTGCCAAGGGCTTCGCATGGCCCAGATCGATCACGGCTACCCGAGAGGAGGTGCTGCAGACAGAGGCGCCGGCAGACGCGCTGCGCCATTCGGACGATGAGGAGGGCATCCTGATTTGCGGACTCACATGGGGGATGGCGTTGGAGAGAGTACTATTGCTATTACTGTGGCTTTGTCGGGCCAGGTGCGACTCGCTGTGCTGGGAGTTGCCCGGTAAGGAAATCTGCGAAGTTGCGGTGACGGACATGGCGGCACCATCCGTGCTGTCGTCCAGCGTCAGGACATCCGCTTGGCGGGTGAGGTGAGAGGAGGAGAGGGTGCCGGTGCGGCTCGCCGTCAGACCGGGTGTCCGCCGCGACGGTGTGTGCGGAGCGTAGGCGGTGGAGAGGCTGCCGTGTAGCTCGCGGCTCAGCGGTGTCGTGACGACGCTGTTCGGCAGCCTGCCATCCTCTTCACCGCCGGCGCACCAAAACGCTTCGTCGGCGCTGTGGTGCTCGCCCTTCTCTCCCGCCGTCGTTCCTCTGCTCTTTTCCTCCTCCGCGGCGCAACCGCGCAGCCAGCAGGGGGTGCTGCAGGCCGAGGTAGAGGGAACGCTGGTGACGAAGGTGTCCTCTCCTCCTTCCGCGGCCTGCGGCGGCACGGACGTGTCGTCGTCGTCCACACCGGCTTCGAAAGGACGTGGGACGCGGTGCGGCGCGGCGCTGATGGTGCTGACGGGGGATCGGGAGTGAAGGACGGAAGAAGGAGAGAAGGACACCCCGGTTGCACTCAACTGGGGAGGTGAGCACGAGGCTGCTGCTGCTGCTACTTCAGCGGCTGGTGCCGCGCCCCCTCCTGGACCGCCGCGGAGGGACAGACGCTGGGGCACCGGATTACAGGGCAGTGACGCACTGCCTTCTGTGACGCCGTGACGCAGCACGCGGTCGACAAAGACGACGTTTTCTGGCTTTAAATCGCCATGCAGAAGATGTGCGGTGCGGTGCAGGAAGGCGAGTGCGTACACCACCTGTGCAACGACGCTGGAGGTGACCAGCGGAGGAAACACAAACGATGACGTCTTGTGCTCCTGCTGCGGCACTTGGCCACGCTGCTCTCCGTCCTCCTCCACCGCTGCCGCCTCCTCGCACTCTCGTTGCAGCTCCAGTACATCCCGCACGTTGAAGCCGAGAAGAGGAAAGACGAGGACGTGGTAGCCGCGGAAGTCAAAGCGCGTGCGTGGGGTAAGGATCCCAGCGCCGAGGAGGGAGTGCTGATCTGCCACCGTGAGACGGCAGGTAGAGGAGGATGAGCGAGACAAGGTGGCAGAAAATCGGCGTTGCTGTGGAAGGTACGGTGATTCCGTATCGCTGCCTTCGACCTCTGCCGCCACGGCAGCATCACAACACGCCCCGACCTGCGCGTACACGTTCCACTCCTCCTGTGCCGCGCGACGGTAGAGGTCCTCCTTGCGGATGATCTTGAGGGCACAGTGCCGCTCCGGGCTGAGTGGCGGGGCCGCGTGGTCAATGGCACGTGCGACGACGCTGAAGGTGCCGACCCCAAGCACCTCGGCGACCTCGTAGCGAAAGCCGATGTGCATGCCGAGCGTAAGAGGGAGGTACGAAGGAGAGGATAACGCCGGAGAAGTGGACGTATCCGTCGCCGCGGCCGCCACCGTCGCTGGTGCGTGGGCAGAGGCATTGGATGCCGACGCCTGCACCCACTCTCCCCCTTGCGACGCACGGACCGCGTGGACGCCTCCTTCCTTTCTCTCCTGTGGCGGCGCCGAGGACACCTCCGTCACTCCACACGCCGTCCGCGGCGGCACGGCGGGCCCACAGTAGTACACCCGGTTGTACGTCCGAATCTCCTGCGCCTCCTGCCGGGTAAGACGGCCGGACATCCAGTAGAGCGCTTCGGCGGGGGTCCACGGTGGCGGTGGCGGCTGGCCGGGCGGAGCGACACCGGCGACGCTGAATTCTGTCTCGTCCACGCTGGCCTCTCGCAGCGACGAGCGCCTGCTGCTGCCGCCGCGGTGAGGATGGGCGGTGCCACCAACTCCCTCGTGTTCCTCCATGGGGTGGGTATCGAGGGTGGCGAAGGAGACGGAGGTCCTGCGTGGGTGACTGCTGCTACCGCTGCTTCTGCGGCGGGGGCCGGGTCCATTGCTGCCGCCGAGCGCTGGCCCGTCCACACCGGTCGTCTCTTCCGTCTCGGCACTTCCGTGCTCCGTGGCGCTGCGGTGCGCGGTTAGCGGCGTCGTGTGGATGGACGGGAGGGCCGACTGGGTGTGGTAGGGCTGCGGAAGCGCCAGCGGCGTCCCCGTGTGGGAGACCGGGGAGAAGCCACCGATGCTGTTGCTGCAGGACCGTGCCCCGCGCAACGCCACCTCCTCCACGCCCGCCGTCTTGCCGTCCATCCCGTCTCTGCAGGACGGTGTTCGGGTTTGGAGCGGCGTCAGCGGGAGCTGCGAGCCGGTGAGGCACGGGGTGGACGAGGTGGAGCGCGGAATCGGATTGAGCCGCGATTGCAGCGGCACATCGCCAGGGGAGGAGGTCAGCGCACTGGCGCCGACTGCAGGAATGATGTAGCGTGCGCTGTGGGAGCTCAAACTGCGCGGGTAGCGGTTGCAGTGGGGGAGAGCGTGTGACTCGTCGAAGCAGCCACGGAGGTGGGGATCACCGCGGGTTCCGCGCCCCGCGTACGAGTGCACCGCGGAGCGGGTGCGGTGCGGCGGATTGCGGAAGTAACGTGCCGTGTGGAAGGGGGCGCTGTCTACCCGGCGTGCGCTGCTGCCGTCTCTCCATTGCCGTAGCGTCTGCTGCTGTTGCAGGTTGCCGGTCAAGGACACGTGGCGGTCCACGAGCGTCGCAGTAGCTCCGCGGGGAGGCACCAGTGATTCGAGATCCTGCCGCGGAGGAGCGCTGGTGGGACTCGGGCCGCCACGCTGGTCCATCCGCAACGGCCGCCCGCGCGACGGCGGGTCGGCGTTCAGCGGCGCGGCCGGGAGCGCAGAGGTCTGCACCTCCGAGGGCACCGCAGAGGAGGGTGAGAGACCGTGGAAGGCAAAAGAGTCGCTGTTTGTGGGAGACGCGTCCGTCTTGTCCTCCTCGGCGTACTCAAACGACAGCGAGGGCCGGCGACTGACGCGCCGCGACGTAACCTGTTGGCTGAGTCGCGTGCCTTTACACGAGCGAGCAGCGGGGGGAGGTGGAATGCTGCTGAAGTCCTCCTTCTCCTCGCTCCAGGTGGTCGAAGAGGCATTCTGTGCCGGCAACTGAGCCGCTAGCACCCTCGCCTCTACTGGGACGCTGTAATGGGACAATAGGGATGCGACGGAGTCCCCTTGCTGGGATGGCGAAGATGTGCGGCGCGGAGACGGACTGTGCTCTTCTTCGTCTTTCCCTTCCTCCTCCTCCTCCACTGCGACGTCGTCCCTCACGACGGCAGCTGGACTGTGACTCGCCGACGGCGGCTGAGGCTCGTGTGCAGCGTCCGCCTTCGAGGCTATAGGCCGCGCAAGTCGGTGGCGTGCGGGTGACCGCGGAGGAAACATGACCTCCCTGTCGATGGGCGACACCAACAACGACGGGGACGAAGAGGAGACCGACATCGCCTTGGTGGCGGCGGTGCATTGCAGCGGTGTTGCACCCACCGGCGTGCACGCAGACGAGGTGGATGGACTGGCCGGCCCATCCCCGTCCACTTTCACGAGGTGCGGGTCGCTCTTCGTCGCGTCCGCATTTAAGACGCGAGCGCGCGGGTTTGGGCGGGCGGGCGCTGGTGTGAGGCCGAGCGGCGGTGGGGGCAGAGGCACGGAGGTACTGCGCAGCATCTTCGCACCACTGCGTGTCCGCGTCACCGGTGCGGCAGGCACGCCGACGTCTGCCTTCTCCGTTGACTGCTGCTGCTGCTGCTGCGAGGGATTGTGTGGTGTGTGAAGCTCCCGCTCAACAAAGTGCGTCCACAATCGACGTGAGAACAACGTCGGTGACTGCAGTGTGGCGGAGGCGTGAGCGGAAACGGCGGAGATGCCACGCCGTGGGAGCGGCGGCACGAGACTCTCCGGCGTCGTGAGCAGCGAGGGCGGTGTGTGCGGGGAGCAGTAGCGATCATTGCTTCTGCGCTCTCCTTCCGCGGACGCTGCGTCCTCGACGCTTCTACGTAGCATGATACCGGACGTGCCATGGGGAGCACCAACGCCCCCGTGACGCAGCAGCTGCTGCGGCTTCTCCGTGTGGCCATCATCCTTCTCGATGGGGTGTGCTGGTGCAGCGCCGTCGTCGACGGTCATCGCAGCGTCTGTTGTTGACTCTGCGGTGCGCCGACGCGCTTCGGAGAGCGTCACTTGGGCCACCATAGCAGGTGCCACCACCGCAGCGGGCGCCGACGGCTGACGGATCATCACGGAACGCACCCGGGCGCGGAAGGTGCAGTGGAAAGGAGAAGAGAAAAAAGCAACCTCGCAAAGACAGTCGAGCGAGGAGTTGTAGTAGGTTGAATTAAAAAAAAATATAATAAAGGAAAGATCATACAGTCGACAATCAAGCGGCGCTTCTCACCAGGTGGCCGACTTCTTCCGTTGCCAGTATAGAAATAAAGATGAAAGCAGAAATCAAAACGCACACGACCGAAAGAGGCACAACAAGAGAAAGACAGCAGCCGTGAGAACTGTGGAAAGAGAGGGAAGAGACAAAGCAAAACAGTTACGAGGATTTTCTTTCTTTCAAGAGAGGATCTCCGCAAAGACCAAACAGCAATGACAACAACGCTTAAACAACAACGAAGAGAACGTTCTGCCGGAGAATGCTGGCGCAGCCTCCCCTGTATTGTTATATATCGGCTGCTTGGCTGTCGAGAGAAAGAGAAAAGGAAAAAAGAGAAGCTCGGCGTTCTCTCCCGTTAGATAAAAAAAAACAACAACCAAGAAGAATAATAGGTAGATAGAGTTGTAAAAGAAGAAAAAAGACAAGAAAGAAAAGAGGAGAGGTAAACCAGGAAAAGATTATTTATACAGTGGTGCGTATACACGTGTGTGTTGTACAGTCAGAATGTTTTGCTTTGCTTGCATGAGTACACGTCTAGTTATATAGTTATAGATGTACAACTTCCTCGCCGTTTTCCCTTTCTTTTTAAAATAAAACTCTCCGTTGTATTGCGTCTCGTACATCCAGGCGCCGCGCGCAGAAATCAATGAAAACAAAGACAAAGAAGAGAAAAGAGAAAAAGATCTGTCTAAGGAAAATAGGAGAGGGGAAGAAACAAGAGGACACAGAACAGTGAACGTTCCACACCGTACAAGCACGAAGGAAAGCAAAAGATGGAAAACGGTATATATATAGCTATGTGTGTGTGTGTGTGTGTGTGTGTGTGTGTTGTTTAGCGGACACCGGCTCCGATAGTAAAACTAAAACAAAACAACTACAGTAGCAAAATGCCTGAAGTTGAAGCGCGGTCAGCCGAAAATTCCAAAAAAAAAGAGAAAAAGAGAAAGAAAATGGGAAAGAGAGAGAGAGCGGGAGAGGGGCGCTCTTCATACAGGCCTCTTTCTTCCTTTTGGGGTTACCCTTGTTTTCTCTTCTGTACAGTCTCGTGCGAAGGCGGGCGTCAACCACAGCAGCGAGCTGCGCCGCACCACCACACGTGTTGCTAATATATAACCACTAACGCAGAAAACAAACAACAACAACAACAAGTACTCAGCTGAAAGGGCGAAGAAACGAGAAAGAATGCGCCAACCGAGCAAACGTACAGCAAGAAGAAAAACCAAATCAAAAAAGAGGAGTAGAAAGAGAAGAACGAGATGCAATAATAATAGTAGCAATCATAAATTGGAAAGAGAGGCACGTGGTGACAGAAATACACAAATGCCTGTCCGTTCTTCGATTACGCAATAACAGCAACGGCAGTAAGAACGGCCGTAGTGAGAGCACTCGTCGCGCGAGTAAGCAGTTCTCACCCCGTTGGCTATGTTTTCCTGATCCAGCTTCTAATCATCATGAGACGTGGAGCAGGGCGGAGAGTGCACACACACGTGTGTGTGTGTGTGTGTTGCCGAGATAAGAACAATAGAGAAAGAGGAGCGGGGGAGAAAAAAGAGCTAGCTTTTCAAGATGGAACAGCTTCGTCCACTACCAGCATTCTCAACAACAGCATTCACGCGTCCCGTTATTCTTCTTCTATATATGTCCTTTTTCTGTGGAGGGAGAAACGCCCATCCATGGCGCGCACCAACACCCGTTGCACAAGCGGTTTTGATTGTTTTTCCCTTTTGTTCATCGACTCCTTCCCAACTCTCCCTCCTAAAGAAAGAAAAACTAAATGGTGAGGTACACAGATGAAAGAGGGCGACAGAGAAAGACCGTGTAGAGAGTGTAACACGGAGGATAGTAAAATGAATTCTACGGTAGCAGACTGCAAGGGAGAAGAGAGGAAAAAAGGAAACCACCCACATCACTGAGGAGGTGAAGACACCGGCCTTCAACGCAGATGGATATCACCACGTCAGAGCAAAACAAACACGGGCCAAAGTTGAAGGAAGAGCTGCACGATATCGTCTCGTGCACCTCTATCTTCCCCCTTTTCGCAAACCCAACTGTTCACGGAGTTGAGTTGGCACGTTTCACTGGCTCGCCCACGGTCCTGGTGGGCCGTACCCCGGCTGCGTCGGTGGCCTCGTCAGCGTGTACACGGCAATCGGCAAGGCCCTCCAGCAAACCACGCAGCGGCGCCCGCACAGCACCGCGACGCTCTTCATCGTATAAAGAAGAAGTAGAAGACCGAGGGCAGGGGTGAGGCCTTGGAGGAGACGAACCGGCCACCCCTGCACTCGACAGCTGTGTATCACCATGAAGTCAAAAACAACCAAGGCAACTACAAGTGGGCAGGCACACCACAGCAGCGGAGCTTTTGGGTCTCCACGGTGCCACTGCTGCTGCTGCTGCTGCTGTATGCTGAGGTAAGGCTGACCAGGAGGCCGTGGAGGCGACACAGCGAGGCCGGAGCGACGCACGCTTGCGGTGGCGACGCGGTCCAGCGCTGTCAGCCGGCGCAGGGGGAACAAAAACTGCGGTTGCGTGAAGGACAGCGGCACGACGTCGGTCGACGACGAAGGAGGGAAAGGAGAGGACCGTGATAGCACGGACCCGTAGGTGAGGAAGGGGTCGTTATCTGGGTCGGCAGCGTCACTGTCGTGTGGATCGCGGGCAGTGGAGCCTGTACGAGCGCCGCACGCCTTTGTGAAGAGCTGGGGCTGCGGCCATGCAGCTCGCACATGCCAAGGCGTGTTCACCACACACACGTACAACACCGCGCTGGCGGTGTAGATGAGGCCGGCGAGGGCGACGGCGAGGTAGGCGACGGCGAGCCACTGATCTGCGAGACGGTGAAGCTCGAAGGCCAATTCACCCTGTACGTCTTCGTTTGACGCAGCCACCGATCCCGTGACGGCGCCCCGCTCCTTCACAACCAGCGCTACCGCGGACGACTTCTCCGTTTCTACCAGCGTAGTCAGGTACACCATGGACGCACCGTACCATCGAATGTGCGCCAAGTAGTTCCACACAACAAAGCTGAAGTACCCCCACAGCAGCTGCAGCCCCGTCACGGTGCGCCGGAAGACGTAGCGGCTGTAAAAGCGCGGGGGCTCGTGTGGGTCGCCGGGGGCGGGGGCACTGCAGCCTACATCTCTCACTTTTGCAGTTTTTTTCGTGGCGGTCGTGATGGCCGCAGAGGGTGGCGGGCTGGACGGCGGAGGGGGTGCCGGTGTTGAGGGGGAAGAGGAAGAGGCAGACCTCTTCCCGCCTGCGCTGTCCTCCTCGGACTCTGCAGACGGCCCTGCTGGGAGTGAGCTCAGTGGAAAGTTCTCTGCCGATCCGGTCCCCGCAACTGCGGTTCTGTCGGACGCGTCAGAGGCTTCGCCGGTGCACGGATCTGCGTCGGCGTTGTAGGGGAACAGCTGGTGTGGTGGCAGTGCCCCGCCGTTGCGGGCTTCGTAGGCGAAGAAGTGCTGCAGCCATGCCCGTATGAGCATCTGCGTTTGTGTGAGTGTGTGTGTATGCAGTAGTGTTCCACCTGTGTGAGGATAGCGCATTCGATCAAAGAGAGGGAGAGAGAGAGAGCAGATCGGAGAGGGCGATTCTGCAAAAGAGAGAACAAAGGAAAGCACAGCAAGAACAAGTGACCATTGCAGGGGATACGCAGCTCCCCCATTCGCCATAAATATGTGGATCTATATAGATGGATCTCTATTTGCCACCGAGTCCATTGAAAGCCATCTTTTTGTGGACACAGAGGGAGGGAAAATGCAGCGAGAAAACGCACGTTTCCACTTTGAAAGATCTTTGAGGGCGATGCAGATGCTCGCGTAGATGTGTGTGAGAACAACAAACAGAAGCTAAGCCGCCCCCCCCTCCCCCAAAGCAAGGACAGCCAGCGGAGAGGCGCCTCGGGTGCAACAGCAATAAGAATAATAAAATGTACAAGCCCCCTCTCCCTCCCTCCTTCATCAGCACGATGCCGATATGAACGGCTCTTCTTCCCTGAGTGCTCCACAACGCCAAAGCAGCAGGGGAAACAAACAAACAAACAAAAGAATGCGCACGCACACTCCTTTGCTCATTCATGACGCTTCTTCCACGCCGCCTCACGGGTTACCTTGAGATCGTGTCGTCGCTTGTTGTCCTCTTCCTGTATGTGATCTATCAGCGCAGCCGTCGCTTCGTCGGCGACACCCTCGGAGCCATCCACGTTGTGACATCGCTGCGTAGAGAGGGACGCCTCGTGACGCATGGCGTGTCGACGCCGGGCCGCTTGCGTCATGCCCGCCGTGTGTGATCCGCTTCTCCCCGCCTGCTCGCCTTCCGCGGAGGATGCAGAGGAAGAAGAAACCGATTCACGAGCCAGCCGACGCTGGCGTGCGACAGCCCGCTTCCGCCGCAGCAGCTCCGCTTCGTAGGCGAGCTCGTCCAGGTCATCAAACAATCCCAGCCGCGACAACCAGCGACGAATGCGCAAGTCGCACTCGTAGTCTAAAATACGCTTCTGTGTCTGCCAGACGTGCCGCCTCTCCTCCACATCCACGCCGGTGAAGGCGAGACGGTACTCGTGCCCCGCCGCGGTGCTCTCCTCGCCGTAGGTTCCGTGTGGAGGCGGGTAGTCGGGCAACCGGAAGAGCGCACGACCCGGCGCGGTGTTGTTGACGAGGACAGTTTTGAAGGCCGTTGTGAGGGCCATGCCCAGCCACACCGGGGCCAGGTAGGGAGGGAAAAACTGAAGCGCAGGGACGGCGCAGGCGTACGCGACAGGGCCGGCGAGCAGCGATCCGGCGGCGACGGCGACGCAGCTGCCGAGCACGGCGCGACGCATGTGCCCAATCCAGCGGTCGAGACGGTCGTTGAAGCCCATGCGCTGGCGGAGGTGCTGGTGCACGTTGAAGCACGTGAGACCCGCCGCGAGCGCGAGGGTGGGATCAATGGCAAAAAGAACAGTCGTGGCGGGGATTGCGGAGGAGGAGGACGAGGCCGCCCCTGCTGCTGCCGTTGCGATAGTGGGAGAGAGCGATGTCACCCAGGCGAGGTGGCCCGCCGAGGCGACGGCCGAGACCGCCAGCGGACTCGTAATCGTCCTGCCGGCGTCTTGAATGAAAAAAGCACCCATCTGCTGGGCCGGCACACCGAGGCAGTACAGCGAGGCTGCCGCGGCCACCGCATAAGGGGCAGTCATCTTCACGTTGTTGGTGCGGTAGCCGCGGAAGATGCGCTCCCGATCGTTTTTCAGTTTCTGCGCCGCCACCCGCTTCTCCCACACGATGGCGTTGGGGTGGTCGGCGATGCTCAAGTAATCCTTGTACGCATCCTGCAGCTCCGGCATGGCGCAGGCGGCACGTCGCAGGCACTGATCGCCGTAGATCGTGTAGGGCAGGGTGAGGCAGCGGAAGACGCACCCGGAGAGGAGCAGCGCGGCGGCAGGCGTTTGCAAACCGGCCCAGTGGGCAAGGTAGAGCGCACCGTTGGCGAGGACGATGGAGAGGGTCCCGGCGCGTCGCGCGGGTGTTCGCGAGAGCATCGGGGACTGCAGAACAATAAAAAAAGAAAGAAAGGGAAAACGGTCGTCAGAGTCGAGGGAGAGAGGCGAGACATAGAGGAAGGGAGAAAAAGGCAAGATGAAGGCCGGGCAACGCAGCACCGCCCTCGACACAGAGAGAGAGAAGCCACCGCCTTTCTGTCCCTTTTACGCGGCAAATGACACATGAATGGTGCTCCAACAAACGGGAAAGGAAGCGTCGGAGGGGTGTGCTTCGCTGACGGCGATCCTCTTCCGAGTCGTTAAAAGAAACAAAAAAGAGTGTTGTACGAAGAGTCATCCGTGCCCCAATGCGACGTAGAGTAGGGGAATAAAGGGAGTGCATTATTGTTTGCTGTTACGCAGCATGGATGGGCATAATAATGCGTTGTAGGTTCTTACTGTGCGAGGACCAACATCTATAAAGGGAATCTATTGCCATGCCACTCCCCTCCAAGAAAAAAATATAAATAAATAACAGGCCAGTACATCAAGCGCTCTGTAGTTCTCATGGAGTTTTTCCCCCTTTTTTGAAAGAGTCAACACCACTCGTGCGAGTCCCACTCAGCGCAGCATTGCAGCGCCGTACGCCGCACCTCGGCTCTTCTCGTTCGAGGAGCCCGACAGAGATGAGGAAGGAGGCGTTCTCGCGCTGTTTTCCACGGAGGCCGCGGCACTCTGCAGCAGTTGGTTGAGAGACGCCTTCAAGGCCTGCTCCTGTGCCTGCCAAGACTGCCATCGTGCCTGTTGTGCGTGCCCGTCCTTCTCCTCCTCCTCCGCCTGCAAATCCACCCCGCTGGGTGCCGACCCACTCGTAGGGGAACGCGGTCGACGCGGCGGCGACTTCAGCGCGGCTGCCGGGCGCTTTCCTTCTCCCGTTGCTGCTGGCTTTGTCGCTTCAGGCGTGAGCGGTGGGTGGGAGAGGGCGGCGACCGCCACCTGCTCCCGCAGTGGCGTCTCGCCGGGTAGCGGAGAGAGGCCTGAGCTGATCATCTCCGCGGCTAACACCGGCGTATAAGGGAAGTAGCTGCAGCTGGTGCCCTCCCGACTACTGGACGGCAACCGCGAGCTCGAAGAAGAGGCGGAGGAGGAGGCGAGGGACGCCGCTGCCGCACGAAGGAGGCGGTGACGCAGCCCGTCGTTGACGCTGCGAAGAGCGTGCTGCAGGAGCACCACCTCCGCGTTGGAGGGGTGCAGGGCCGGCGGTTCGACTGCGCTGCAAACGAGAGCGCCTGGCACCGCGGAGGAGGAGGGAGAGGGCGGAGCTGGCGATGTGGGCTGCGTAGAGTGCGCTCGAACAGGAGAGTGGTGGGGCGGCAGCTTCTCCGTTTCCCCATTGCAGCCTTGCGGAACGGCGTTCAGTAAGCCGTGCCACGTTTGGAGCTGGTCGAGTGCGGCTGCCTCATCTATTTCTAGCTGTCGCAGCTGCTGTTGGAGGAGACCTTGTACCTGGGCTAACTCCTTCTGCGCGACTTGCTGACTGTGTTGCCAGGACGGCGCTGCTGTCGCCGCTGCTGCGACGCGTGTGGGGCGCGATGACGGTGCCTGTACATCCGCTGTCAGCGAGGCCCACAACGTGTCCGCACCAGACTTCAGCTTCTCCATTTTTCGCCGCAGGGCACGCTGCTGATAGCGCCAGTTGCTCAGGTTCACTGCTTTCGCCTCCGTCACGTGCAGCAGCTGCTGATCCACCTGCTGGATCTCCTCCATCAGCCGCGCCACAGCAGCCACTTTGCTCTGGCGGAGGTGGAGAAGATAGGCCAGCGTCTCTTCTCGCTGCTGATCCTGCGCGCGCCACGGCTTTGCAAAGCTTTCTTCCGACTCCCGTACCACTTCCTGGGTCTCGCGTAGCAGCGCTGCGGGCATGTACAGGAGCGCGTCTTGGAAGGGTAGGTAGTCGTGGTTGGTGTGCGGCCCCACGAGTAGAGACAGGCCACTGCACCGTGCGTAGCAGCTGAGGCAGTAGTAGTCTTCCGACTCGGTAGGGAAGAGCGGGCATCGATTAGTACTGGTCGCGGCAGCAGCGGCAGCGGGGGAGTGAGAGTGGGACGTCGGTCCAGCCCCACGAAGAAGTTCTGCAAGTAACGCGGCGCTGCTCGTGAGATTCTCATCTGCGGGGTGAGTTGGAGGGGGCGGCGGTGAGGTTGCTCTGCGCCCCGCTGCAGTAGTAGTGGTAGTAGCTACAGTCGTTGCCATTCTTTTTTTCTTTGCTTCTCTTATCGGTGTGCGTTTTTGGGTTCTATGCTTCTAATATTTATAAATAATAATAAAGCAATCGTGCTGAAGGCGTGCGGGTTGGTATGAAAGCTTAAAAAACCAGAAGAGAGTGCTCAAATTGTCAAGCTTGCTCTTATTCATCAATAACGTTCTAGGCGAAACGCACGAGGATCAAACCTCCCGCCTGGCTGTGCTGCCCTGGCACCTCGTTTATGGTGCTGCGGCTGCAGCGATCTACGCAGACAAGAAGCAAACGAAACGCGCACACACAAGAAAACGAATGAGGCAGGAAGAACGGAGATGAAGGGACTGGGGGACGAGGAAAGAAAAGAAAAAGCTTTACTAAAATGCTCTTGAGCAGCTTTTATTCCTTGGATTACTAAAGGCTCCAATAGCGACACCCCGGGCTGGAAATCTGCCGTCATCACTTCCTTTTAAAAGAGAAAGAGGAAGGGGAGGGGGTGAGGAAGCTGCGTCAAAGATCGACATAAACAACACTCCATCGACTGTTTTTTCATCTGAGAGCTTTGCGGATCAGTTTAAAAACCCTTACGTTGCCATCAACAGAGGTGGTGCGCAGCATTATTCGATCTCTCGCTCGTATACACCCAACATTAAAATCAGTTCAAACAACCGCGGGGTACACCGAAGGAAAACAAACACACACGCCAACAACAGCTACACTCATCCGCCTTCCTTTGCCTTCTTGAGAGCCGCCGTGTGGGGTTGCTCTGCGACTCTCTCCGCTTCGCGAGGGCGACGGCGCGATTCCGCAGGGGCAGCCGCACTGCTGTCTGCTGCAGCGTCCGCCTTCGCGGGAGTCCAGCGAATGCGGGTGGCTCGAATGGTCATGTTCAGCTCACTCTGTGCCTCCGCCACGACTTCGGTCTTGTAGGTCCAATGATGTGTGCCGCGACGCTGCACCAACACGTAGTTCAGCAGCGCACTCGCGGCCTCGTCGCGGGCTCGGTGCAGCTCCACAGCCGCCGCCGAAGAGCTGGAGGTGCCACGACTAGAAGCGCTGTTTTCCATCGCTGCGGAGGCGGCCACAGCATAATTCCGCGCGCTGTCCTTCACGGCTGCCCAGAGAGGGTCCTCGGCCGTGTCTTTCTGCGACGCCGGCACGTACACCCGTTTGTTTTCTTCGTCGAGCATCTGCAGGAAGGCACCCTCCACGTCTTCCACGCGCTGCTCACAGAAGTTGACGACCTCGCAGCCGTCCGGGTTGGTGGAGAGCAGCTCCGTGAGCGTATAGAGCAGCGCTGGCCAGTCTTTCGGGTTGCCGTAGAGGGCATCGCACATGATCACGTAGTGGTAGGGAGGCGTGGAGGATGCGGCAGTTCTCGACGCTGTTGGCTGCAGGGCGTTGCTGCACGCTACAAGAGAGTCCGACGGCTTCTTCAGCGATTCCACCATCGCGGACATTACCCGCTCGACGGCTGCCACGTCCTCTGCCGAAGAGCCACTGTTTTTGGCGCTGCCACCAATGATATTGCTATCGTGACTGCTCTTCGGAGAACCTTTCATTTCCTTCTGGAGCTGCTTGTGCACGCTGGTCGTCGCTGTAGGGCCCCACTTCCACTGCAGTGCCGCACAGTAGCCGACGCCGTGGCTGCGTGTCCGCACTCGCGTCTCGTTCAGCTTTACGTTGTGCGCCATCAGCGGCAGTAGCTCCTTCACATCCGTCACGGCAACGCGCGCGCCCGCCATGGCGAGGGCAACGCCGAGACACCCCACACCCGCCCCCAGCTCCACAATGTTCATGCCCGCTAAAGGAGAGTGAGACGACGACGTGGCCGATACCGGTGTGCTCGCACCCCTTCCCTTCAACGGAGGGAGTTGAAAGACGTGCGTGTGGAGGTAGTGCAGGGCGGCCGGGTTGCTGTTCCACAGCACGGCCCCCAGCTGGTCCTCCGCGCTCTCCAGCTCCACCTGCAGCGCGGTGGAGTTGAGACTGCCGTCGTCGTCCTCACCGTCTGCCGCTGCGTCCGGCACGGCCCAGTGGAGGGTGGTCACCGTGCCGTAGGGACTCGCCACTTCCTCCACGAGCCACGCGAGCATCTCCAAAGGGGAGGATGCTATTAGTATGTATGTATACGTATATATAGATACCTGTACGTGGCCGGCGTGTCACTCCCTTGTTTGAAGACAATAAGAGGGCGGTGCGAAGGAAGATGGTGACTACGTGTGGAAAGGCGAAATGCAAAGGGAGAAAAACAGAGAAGAAGCTCCATGGGAGCAGGGAAAGCGCGGAGGGAAGCCACGGAAGACACGCAACGGCTGCTTAGCTTGGCGAAGGAGTCAATCGACGGCTGTAACCGGTACACACTCCCCTTAAAACACCACCTGTGCGCAGAATGTCGCAGTCGCCTTCTCACGCGTCCCTTCTTTCTTTCAAAGACATCGGTTTTATGGTTAAATGAAATGTTCCTATCTTTGTTTAGACGGAGTCAGTAACGACGGGTTCGCTGGCTTGCATGACCACAGGTGTACTTGACAGCATCGACTGACGATGGTCACACACCCCACCGGCAAGGATTTTCATTTCATATGAGAGAGAGAGAGCAGTGCGACGTTAGGCTCCTCCTTCCCCCCCCCCTCCTCCCTCGCCCTTCTCCTCACTCTCTGCAGCGTCCGTTACTGTTGTGCACGTTTCTGGCGATACATGTCCTGCAGTATCTTTTCTCGTGCCTGCAGCTGCCGCAGCTCATCTTCGGCGGCGTCGAGGTCACGACGCATCTTCAGCTGCTCACGGTCCCGCAGGGACGAAAGAAAACGCGTGGCCTGACGTGCACGTGTGAGTTCGTTCACCAAGTGCTCGTACACGTAGGCGGCGACCGACAAGGTGGGGTGCGCATCGCCCGTCTCGTTGTCTTCAACAAAAGCTGCTGGCTGCTTGAGACGCCCGTCGTCGCGCACATAGCCCTGCAGCACGTGGAGCTGACGCGGGTCCAACATGGCAGCGGAGAGAACCTGCTCCCACTCTTGCCGCAACGGCTGCAGCACCGCGTTCGCCTCCTGCACCTGCGCGGCGACACGGGTGCTGAGCTGGTGCAGCGCGTTCTGCACATTCACGCGAGCGGTGTAGCGCGGGTGATCGTTCACGTAGGCCTTCACAGCCTGTACAGCTCCCCCCTCGTCTTCCGCTGCGATCGGCCCGCCGCCTGCGATTTCGCGCGCTACCAGCTTCTCGGCGGCGTCTCTTTCCGCCGCAGACGTCGAGCGGGCCAACGCAGCACCACCCGCATCACCAACTCTTCTGGTGTACTTGGTGGTTGTCGCAGCTCTTTCGCACTCCACGGCAACCCACTGGCGAGCGACCGTCACGTAGGCGCTTTCTTCCTCTGCGGTGCGAAACGTGCGGAGGGGATGGCTGCTGCTGTCGACGTCGTCGCAAACGGGCGACGGCGCGTCCACAGCAGGCGCAGGAGAGGACGTGGGCGGAGCCGCCCGCCTGTCCTCTTCGGTCTTGACGTACTTACGAGGAGCGGGAAGGTTTAATGAGTCAAGGATGCTCTCAGAGACGCTGCTACTCGGGGCGTTACGGGACAACACACGCGGAGCATCACCACTGGATGCATCGTCATCCGCTGCATCTCCAGTTCCAGATGACAAGGGATCGCGCTGGCGTTTGAGAGGAGGCGGTGGTGGTAACATGCCAGAGCCTGTGCTTCCGATGCCGGAAGCGGTGGCCGTCGCCTGCGGAAGTGAGGCGAAGAGGTCTGCGAGGCTGTTCTTGAGTTCTCCGTCGGCCTCTGCCTTGCGAATGTGCGACGATGAGGGGAGATCGGGGAGGAGCGCTGCGGCGCTTGTCGTGGCGGTGTTGACAGCCTTCCGCGACGGTCCTGCCGTGAGCTGCGCAAGCAGGTCGTGATTGACCCCAGTCAGTGCTGCCCGAGCACGACTCTCACTGCTGCCTTCTCCTCCTTCCTGAGCGTCTTCACCTCCGCCGAGGATCTGCCGCTGCTGGATCACGCGCTGTTGCCCGGCCAAGTCTTTCATCAGCACACGCTGCTTCTTGACCAGGCCGGCCTGCTGCTGATCCTGATACATGTCCATCGCCTCGAAGTCGCTCTTGTCGCTGTCGTCGCCAGACGCGGCACGTCCAACGCCGTCGCTTTCGTCATCCGCGTCCCCACCGTTTCCTCCTTCTCCTTCACCGTCCTCGGCCACCGTGTCCACAAGCCCCGTCGACTGCCGATCCTCCTCCAAGGCCTTTCGCATCTTCTTTGACTGCCGCAGCGACAGCGTGCCGGATTCGATCCCCTCGCGATTGCTCTCCAGCTTGGCCAAAAACGCCGCCTCCTCCAACTGCCGCTGCCGCTCCTTCCGCAGCCCTTTCTTCTGATCCTGATTTGCCAGCCGGCTCGTGGCCATGTCCACCATCTCCTGCTGAAAGCGCTCCCCGCTCACCGTGTCAGCGCGTGCGGCGCGCTCCTCGTGCGTCTTGCGGGCGTTGCGGCGACGGCGGCGCTCTGCCATAAAAGCCTCAAGACTCTGCCGCGCCGCCTCGTCGCTTTCTCCCGTGCCTTTTTGCTGCTGCTGCTTTACGTAGTGCTCCTGCTCATCTTTGAGCTCAAGATAGCGCTGTTCACACAGCCAGGCAGGGCGAATATAGTGGGTGGACGTGCGCCGCGTCAGCTGCTCGGAAATGAGGCGAAACTTACTGGGGAAGAGGGACTGCAGCTCGACCAGCTTTTCTTCCTCCTCGAGGCTCCACGCCTCGCGGATGTTCAGACGGGGATCGAGGTAGTTCTCCCAGCGCTCGCGGCATTGGGTGGAGGTCTTCTTGGTCAGCATCGACGCGACACGCTCCCAGTCACGCAGGCCGTACTGCGCCAGCGCAGCCTTCAGCACCTGGTCCTCGGCGTTGGTCCACGGACCGCCTTTGAAATGTAGCTTCGACATTATTTATCTATCTTCTTCTACTTCTGCCCTACTGCTTCTACTTGCGGTTGCGCTGAAGTTCAATGAGTGTAGAAGAAGGCGCATAAGACACACACACATATATATATAATCAACAAAAGAGGGTCAGCAATGCCCTCAGAAGACAATGTGGGGCGGGGAGGGGGAAGAGGACGGGATGGCTGCACATGGAGAGCTGTGGCGGACGAGACACGGCGGTGGGGTACATCTGCCGCATAAAAGCAGAACTTGCTCAGCTGCGTACGCTGCTCCTGCGATTAGATGTGACGTCAGGCCGTCATACACAGCTGGCGTCGAAGTGGTGGCTTTGACGCACTTCCATGTTTTTTAAATATTAAGATGATCAACAACAACAAGAGAAATCTCCTTACGCGGCGGTGATTACTGGAGCACCACCGTTTTCTGTGAAGGCGCCCCCCTCTCACCGCCTCTTTGCAGGAAGGCAGCGCACGACGAAAGCACAGCCAGCTGTATTACACAGAGAGAGAGTCCGCCGCAGCAACAGCTAAAGTAGAGCTCTTAAGCGGCTGCAACGGCCTCCACCAAGGACACAAGTTCCGGCGAAAGCTGCAGGCTGCGATCCCGCACCAGCGTCACCATCCTCTGCACATCCGCAGGATCGATCGCGCTGGCCACGGCGACGTTCGCTGAAGCGTCATCGTGATCATTAGCTGCAGCAACACCACGACGGCGCTGCTGGCGCTGTTGAAGTTCTGCGCGCCAATCTCGCAAAATGCGCTCGTGGTAGTGATAGAGGATCGCCTGCTGCCCCACGCCCAGCCGCATGCACAGGTCGAAGAGCTCGTAGTCCACTGGGGGCAGCTGCGGCATGTGGGAGTGCGTTTTGGGGTAGCGGGCGAGCGCGTCTGCACTGAGCACGATGGCACTGCTCCTCAGCACCGACGACTCGTGACGGCCAACGAAAGAAGGGGCGAGATACGAAGGCCGGCCCTCCGTCTCGTCCTGCAGCATCGGGGACTGAAGGCTGATGCTGCGGGCAGCGCTGACGGCGTTTGGCTGAGCTGGTGTGGCACTTACCGCCTGCGCTGCTGCCACTGCTCGTCCCGCAGACACGGTTGCATTGGAAGACGCAGACGCAGCCGTGTCATCGGCGGTGTTGGCTGTGTTTATGTTGGTGGTCACCGAGTACGCAGCTCCATCTTCGTCAGCATACGGCTCGTTGCTGCTGCGCACCTCGGCGGCACTCTGACACGCTACCACGTATGCCCGTTTTTCTTCTTCTCCCCTGTCTTCCTGCTCTCCCTTCTTCTCATCGACACTGGCAGAGGATTGGGACGCCTTTCGCAGCTCCGCAGGTGTCATCCAACGAGACTCGTGCTCCGACAGCCACACCTTTATCGGCTTCTCCTTCGCATCGTCAACGGATGCAGCACCGCCGCCACCTTCCAGCGGATCCGCCGCCACCGCCGTCGCTGACGGATCGGTGTTGAGCTCCCGCGCGTAGTACGCAATCGCGTCCTCCAGCAGCGACACGTACTCCACACAGAGCTGTGCCTTGGCAAAAACATCGCTGCACAGCGCGTCAGAGAAGCTCACGACCAGGTCGATGGAGACCTCCTCCTGGTCCACGTCTGATCTCTCTCTCTCCCACCTCGCCGTTGGACCAGTTTGTGCATCGAGGAACAGGTCTCGGCTCTCCTGCAGCGCAGCCGCCACGGCGGGCTGCAGGGTGTGCCGAGGCACCTCCAGGACGTACCGAGGGGCCTCTTTGAGGGAGTTGTACGGTGCGTCTGGCGTTGCCGTGAAGGACAGACCGGGTGCTCCCCTCCCCTCTGGTGTGTCGAGACGACTGGGGTGGAGGGTGGGGGGAAGAGGGTCGAGGTGGCTGAAGGAGTGAACGCGAAAGGTGACGGAGGACGCGCCGGCTGCAGCTGGCGGGCGCATCTCACGCAGCGGGAAGAAACGGTGCAGCACCTGCCGCGACACGTAGTTGTCCTCCGCCGCCGCCTGCGCGTCCTGCTCGCGTAGTTGCTGGAAGGAGGCGGCGGCGGGCCCGACGGAGGCGGGGAGGGTCGGAGCAACAAAGAGCACGTCGATGGGCTGCCGAATCGCCCCACTCCAGAAGCCAACGCCGTAGGCTTTGGTGGAGGGAATGTCGGACAGGAAGAGCATCGCAGGGACGGCGGCCGTGATGGAGGTGTTCGAGGGGCGTGTCGTGGACGTCAGCGTCGAGGGGGTCCGTGGCGACGTCGTAGCTACAAGTGGCGTGACAACACCATACGGATCGTCTTCTTCCTCCGCTGCACACCGGCTGCTCCGCGAGCCCCTCATGCGGCCGGTTTCCGCCTCTTCTTCTTGCTGATTCTCTCCTTGGTTCTCGTGAAAGATCGTGCGGCGCTTCCCTTCGCTCCTTAAGAACGAGGGGAGAGTCAAATCGCTGAAGGACAGCCCTCGCTGCATCTCCCACGGCAGCACCGCCGTCCACACGTGCAGCGGGACGACCTTGCGGTACACCAACGGCGTCCCTGCACTCGTCGCTGCTCCGCTGCCGACGACGAAGTCTTCACGGGTGAGTGTCGGTGCGGCAGAGCGGCTTTTCCACAACGACCAGCGCCGGCTGCGTGTGGTGAGCGAAGTTGAACCCGAATTGTTCTTATTCGGACTCGTCTTTAGGAGTTGCGAGGATAGGGGGCTCTTTTCGGCATTCCTTTTCGTGCCACTGTTGGGCGACGACAGCGGTGTGCGCGTGATTGTAATGAGCAGCTCCGCAGGAAAGGTAGGCTTGTCCTGCACCGGTACCTGTGTGCTGTACTGGTGCCAGTCCCGCAGCACACGCTTCAAGGCAGTATAGTCGCGATTGATGGGGAGGTGAATGTGCGACCTGACCAGGTCGAGTACTGTTCTGGGTGGCATCGCACGTAGCCGCGGAGTAACAAAAGTCAACGCACCCACACACACGCTTGCCGAGCGCCGTGCGTACGTTCGAAAAGAGGAGAGGAGAGATACCCGCAGCAACACACCCGTCAAAGGGCTGGAGGTGCTCGCGGCGAGAGAGAGAACCAAAGGGGCGTTGGTGGTGACAAGTGCAGCGGGCGAGCATTTCTTTCTTCTGGTTTGACGAGCAGTGTTTTACCCTCGTTTTTTGAAGTAGAAGAACAATGTCGCCTCACAAAACAATGACTAGACCCCCTCACAGAGGAAAAGGGTCGTTTAGCGTAGCTTCCTCGGCAGTAAGTTGCCTTCCGCCGCAAAGACGACACAGCGCAACCGCCATGACGGTCCCAACAAAAGGCTCCTGTAAAGCAAGACAAGAAGGCACAGTTCTTCACGCAATTCTCCATCAATATTGAGAACAGGACCAAGGCACATCCGACTGATGTTTCTTTTTATTATTATTATCAGAGGACCCTATCTTTCCCTTTCAAACAAAAGCTTGTAATGATACGGCGGAGTGCCCATAATTAACCTCGTGGTCTCAAAAACAAGGTAGCGCGTGCGAAGATGAAGATGAAGAGGAGGAGGAAAAGGGAAATAGCCCTTACATGCGCAGCGCTGCATTATAGGCTGGAAGGCACGAACGCTCCCCACTTTCCCCCCATCTTCTTCCTTTTCTTCTTCCTTTTCTTCTACAAACCCACCACACCAGCATTTCAGTCTCAGTGGCTTCTTTATTTTGTTGTTTCCTTCCATAGACGCCCCCACCTCAAAAAGGCCGCTCCGTTGAGGACGAGTCGCCCTTCCCCTTGTTATTACCCCGGTCGACACACACGCGACGATCAGGTTTTCGTTTGTTTTGAATTTATAGAAAGGAAAGGACGAGAAGAAGATAATGTTAGACTGTAACCTTGAACACCTACCTCCACACTCCCCCCCCCCCTTCCCCACCACGCACACACACACACACGCAGGCCGACATACGGAGAGCGTTCAGTCGCGTGCTTCGCATCGGACAGGAAGGAAGGCAAAAAGGGAGCGGCGGTGGAGGAGTGGGCGAGGCGAAACACGAACATTAATAAAAAAGGAATATAACAGTTAACGAATGAAACTACCTTCTTGGTACACAGGCTTGTGTGTGTGTGTGTGTGTACTCGAGGGAGAACAGCAGCTAAGCAGCGTGTACTGTGTGTGTGCGTGGGTTTCGCCTCCTTTCGTGGGGATTCACGTCTCACATAAAACAGCAGAAATAGCGGCGCTCGTAGAAGCAACATCAACGATAGCGGGAAAAGGCCCGAGTTGCGTCGTTCTATCCCCATCAGCGCCTTCTTCAGCTTTGAAAGATTCTTGTGTGCATGAAAGAAAACCAAGAACACACACACACACACACACACACCTCAACAGCAACAATTGGCAAGTACGAACATGCCGACAGCCCTTTCTTCCTCCGCGGCAACATCTTCTTTAACGATTATTTACTAGCGGCATTCGCCGGTTCTACAGTTTCGAGATGTCGTGGCTGCCGCTCTCGCGCAGACCCGCGCCGGACATGCGCACGAAGCGTGCCCGCTGCTGCATCTCCGGGATGTTGTGCGCCCCGCAGTAGGAAATACCAGAGCGTAGCCCACCCACGAGTTGCTTCAGAATCGGTGCGATGGGACCCTTGCACGGCACGCTGCCCTCCACCCCCTCCGGCACAAGGTCGTTAAAGACGTCCTCGTCCAGCCGCTTCTCGCGCTCCGCCTTGCTGATGTTGGCCCCAAAGCCGGCCATCCCACGGATGATCTTCACCTTCTTGCCCTCCTTCACCAGCACACGGCCGGGAGCCTCATCGGTGCCGGCCAGCATGTTGCCGAGCATCACGGTGTCCGCCCCCGCTGCGATGGCCTTGCAGATGTCACCGGCCGTCTTCACGCCACCGTCGGCGATACACGGGACGCCGTGTTGCTTTGCAACGCGCACGCAGTCCATCACCGCCGTCAGCTGCGGCACGCCCGAGCCGGCCACGAGGCGGGTGATGCAGATGCTGCCGGGTCCCACGCCGATCTTCAGGCCATCCGCACCTGCCTCAATGAGGTCCTTTGCCCCTTCACCCGTCGCGATGTTGCCGGCGATGACGTCGATCTTGGCGGTGCGGGGGTTCGCCTTGAGGGCCCGCACCATGTCCACGCAGAGGTCGCTGTGACCATGGGCGATGTCGACCACCAGCACATCCGCCCCGGCCTCCACGAGGGCGGCGGCACGGGCGTGGTCCTCCTTCTTCACCCCGATGGCGGCACCGACGAGCAGACGGCCGCGTGCGTCGAGGGAGGCGCTGCGGTTCTTCGTCAGCTTCACGATGTCGGACGAGGTGATCAAATAAAGTAGTTCGCCCTTCGGGCCGAGGATGGGGAGGTTGTTCGTCCGCTTCGTTCGCAGAATCTCCTGTGCCTCCTGCAGAGTGATGGCGGTGTTGGTGCTCACGACCATGCGGCTCACCGGTGTCATGAGGCTCTCCACCGAGTCGTTGGCCTTTGCGAAGACGACGTCGCTCTTGCTCAGCACACCACGCAGACGGCGGGAGGAGAGGTCGTCGACAACGAGCAGGCAGCTGACGCCGCCCTTACGACCGTCCCAGTTCAGCTCCTCCACCGCCTCCGCCTTGGTGGCGGTGGGCAGAATCATGCGCGGGTCCTCAATCAGGAAGGACTGCGCCCGCTTCACCTTGCGGACCATCGCACACTGCTCCTCCACGTTGCAGAAGCGGTGCAGGATGCCAATACCACCCTCGCGCGCCATCGCCACCGCCGTCTTATCCTCGCAGACGGTATCCATGTTGCTCGCCACAATCGGGATGCTCAAGGAGATGTGGCGGCTGAGACGCGTCTTGGTGCTGACGGACTTGCGGGAGCGGATGGGGCTGCGCTGCGGGATCAACAGCACATCGTCGTAGGTCAGACCCTGCGGGAAGCTCTGAAGCTTGTCTAGTGCGGCGGCCATGGTGATGAGTAGTACTTTTTTTTTGCTTTTTGGAAGGCACCTGACAAAGCGAGGAACAGAGAAGAAGAAAACGTGAAACAAGGAGGTTTAATTGTCAACGGGGGAAAGAATTTAATTGGAAAAATACTTAGTGAAAAAAGATGAAGGCGATGTAGTTCGTGTGCTGTCCCTCTCTTCGAGCTGCAGCAGTACTCTTGTGAAGGTGCAGAAAACACACACACACACACACACACACACACACACACGTCGTAGCGTCAAAGCAGCGCGGAGGAAACCAACACGGACCAGAAAAAGACAGAGGAAAGGAATAGAAGAAGCGAGAGGTGCAAAGAGTCCGAGAGAGATGCATTAGCTGAGACATGATTCCACCCTCCATACTCGCGATGGACCTCCAACATCTTATCTATTCACCCCGCGCAGCGTCCCGCTGCCAAACCCACTTCCTACAACGTCGGGGGACGATGGTGCACTAGACTTGGCGATTTCCTCCTTTTCTATTTTTTCTAATAGGTAGCACTACTCACGAAGCGGCAAACAAGGGTAGTTGAATTGGTTAAACCCAAGGATCCCTGTCGTGGTGGGCAACCACGGGGGTGGGTGGGTGGAAAAGGAAGAAAACCCAAAAGTTGTGAGAACTTTGATTCTGCAAGTCCCAAAGATAAGGCGAAGGAGAAGAGCGAGGGAGAGTAGTAGAGGTAGAAAACATGTCATCAGCAAACGTCGGAGCCATTGCTCCTCATCCTCCTCGTATCATCCTTACTCTTTTCATCACTCCATTTTTTTCGTAAACTATCAAGAAAAAAAAAAAAAACAAACGCTGCCCCGTGCACGAAGCAACCCGTTCTGTGGAACGCAGGAGCAGAAAGGCGAGAGGTACTGCGCGCTTTGCCTTTCTATTGTTTGTTTGTTTGTCTGTTTGCCTGCCGAGTCGGCGTCGGCATCTTCGAAGCGCGTGTTGGACAGCGCACCTTCACAGCTTTTTCAATC